TTCATGACTCACGGCGCGACTGGTACGAATTGATGCTGTTTTTACCCAGACACCGCATACAAAAACAAACGCTATAATGTAACGCACGTGCAGGCACCAGACTACTCCTCATTTGCATACGTGTTCAAAAATCTTGCACATGCAAAATAATGATCCAATACCAGGGTGAGAGAGCAGGTAGTGGTGGGCGCCCGACACACTGGGGACGAGGTTGATATATCTCCGAGTCCGATCTAGTAAGCCCCGCCCACTACGCACGCGCTACACTGCAGGATCCAGCCACGCGCGTCATACGCGCGTGCATGCTAGCGTCGGATCTTTGTGCATGCGCATGTCGGACATAAATTGATTGGTTAGAACCATTGATCTCCATATACACAGACTGGATAGGACATCGCGTACGAACGTGCGTCCGCGCGCGCGTTTTTTGAAAAGGGTAAAGAACACAATTTCGCATTCGAGTTGTGTACACTTTCGAACGGAGGATTAAAAAAAGAAGTTGGGTTTTCTTCGGTTTCTTTGTCATTTTTGAAAGAATAAAAGAAACAGAGATCTAAATTGATCAAAATCGACGAGGAGTATAATCAAGGTGTGCGCAGCATTGGATTGTTGGAGTCGGCAAGTAAGGAGCGTTGAAGAATAGGACAATTATTCGCAAGTAAGTTGTTTTTTTAACGAGGCCTATACAAGTCAACATGGCATGGAGGAATATGAACATGGGAATGACAAAGCAAATTATGTCGCTCTGAGTTTGAGGGGACGGGCCTGTGTGGTAGCTAGCGAGATATTCTGTTCAAATTCCATGCGATCTAGGCCACGGTGCTCAGTGGTCGGCATCATTTTTCTTTAAAAGACATAGGCCTAAACGTGCATGTATGATTGACCCGGCAATGGCAATGAACAAAAGTTGACTTGTTTAAGATAGTTTATTCGAATAACTTTTATATGCAAAATCTGATTGAATTATGTCTGCCTTGGCTTAACGCCTACCGAAATGTTTCTATTCTTTTCTTTATAAAGAGAAACTGAGGAGATGGTTTATGCTAACTTACTGCACAACTGGCCGATTGACCTTCATATCAAACAAAGAACTTCAGCAAAGCCATATAGCAAAAACCACCAGCTGCAGGACCGAGCCGGACGAAAATGGAGAACTTCACGGAGGGATGGAATCGACTGTATCATCCACTGAATGGAACATGCGATGTGATAGGCATCTGAGCGTTTGACTTAATCAATTTTTACGATGTGGAACTGTTAACATTGATTGGTTTTGGTTTTGGAAAGAAGTTGTGGAGTTCAACGCAAGTATTTTTATAAGCTCCCAAGATGACTGTCACATTATTGACAGTTTGTATGGTGAAGAAAGCAATGAGTACTTTTACGGTTTGAAATTATGCTGTGTACGCCGTTATATAAGATTACTAGCTATAGCCATAAACACCGTCATATTCGCTCACAAAAACGATTCCCATTACACTTACAAGTAATTATATTTATTTTCAGAAGTATAGCTTAACATTTAATTGCAAGACCGTGCGTAGCTTGAATTATTCTTTGACAAAATTAGTATAGTACTATTTTGGTTTGTGATTCATCTCCTTTCACACAATATCACAAAGAGGTAAACGATGTCATTCCCTGATCAATCTAGGGACGGGAAGAAGTTTTTACTGATTACTTTGTAAAATTAAAGTTTTTTTTACCTTTTAGATTGTAATTGGTTCATGTTCAGGTTTTTTAATAAATATATCAATCATTTGAATGAATCTCCATACAATTTCTCGTGTGAGTGTTCAGTTAAAAAATATGATGTCATTTCAGCATATTATTAATACAATTATTCATTTCGTTGATGGAGTAATTCAGTGTGCTCTAATGACCAATGTGCCAAAAATGAAATGGCAATTTACTTACAATCATTTTTGGGAGGAGAAGGGATTTAAAAAAAATAAGGGAAAAGGAAATGGGGGGTTCTTGAATTTCGAAAATGCATAATAAGAAAGTGTATATCAAGAAAGTGTGGAAAAGCTGTTTGGAGGGTAACTCTTCATCGTTCAGGGTTTTTTTTTAAGATTGTTTTGGAGGAGCGCTTGAACTCCCTCCTGTAAGAAAAATTTCACTAAACAATCCATTTTCCAAAGTAAACAAAGTGAAAGCACAATGCGCGTTTACCCGTCTGACAGTAAACGCGCCGCCATCGTTCGGCCGCGCATTCGTGCACAAACACGGCGCGATGTCCTATCCAGTCTGTGTATATGGAGATCAATGGTTAGAACACCATGGGGCGGAGCTTGGTGGATCTAATAATAGACGCATATCCGTGACAAGTTTTTTTGTCCTACAGGAGCACTCGTTCCTGTGAAAACTCGTGACAAGTGGGTAGGCCTATTTATCATAGTGCTACTTCTTTGTATTACAATATTTTATATAACTCCTCTGTAGTTTTACGGACAGCGACCCAGTATGTTGACAGCCTCTCAATGGAATGTAATTTCAATTGCTACACTCCTCACGTTACGTAGTAGGTGGAGCGATCAATGTCTGGTACATCTGTTCAGCTGAAACAAAACCACAAAGAGGCTAGAAAGTAGAGACGATCTTTCTGGTATATCCATCTACTTACATATCTGTAACATTACATTATCTTTGTATGTAATTGAATATACTATGCATCGTAGAATTATACTTCAACTTTATAGTTTAATTTGAGTGTCACTTTTGTTTGTGGAGCCGGAGCAGTGTGAATTTCCGCCATCTGTCACGTAGACAACTGAAACTAACCCAACTATACTTCTTTACAATACTAAGGTGTTGCTTATCACATAATTGTTTTGCCAATGTTTAATCAAACTAAAAAAGAGTCACATCTTTTTAACCTCCCAAGTAGAACAACAACTTATCCACCCTTTAACTGTTATCGCCGGGGACCATAGTACGCGTTTGATGCAGTTTCTCTCGGTTTATACCTGTTCCCATAATTCGGTCGGATATTCAATTTAAAGGCATTTTTAACAGATAAAGGACTATTTGAAGGGCCCATGCAATGTAACTGTTTTAAATGCAATCTTTGGACATGCACTTTTGTGTTCAATTTAACCCCTTTTTTCAATGTTCGTTTCGCCATTGCATTGGGAATTTGGTGCCTATTTTTATGCTAATGCGAATGTCCATATTCATGAGCAAAGGTGTCATATGTCATTTCCGGCAACAACCTCAAAGCTACGTCTATTTTAAAACCAAAAGTTGCCAGATTTTTGCATTTTCTGTCGGACATTTTCTTTTCTTTGGTGATTTGCTCATTTTTAATAAGCAAATGTTTTGAAAAGGTCACCCTTAAACTGAACAGTTTCTTCCTGAAATGACATCACAGTAATAGCGACCTCAGTTGTCCGGAAAAACATGGACTTTTTATGTGTAAAGAGTAAACTTTTCCTAATTCCATAAAATTAACCAAAAAGGAATGTGAAATAGTTTGCATACATTTTAGAAGACTAGAAAGTTACACCAAATGGGCCGATGTCCCTATTTAGAAAAGTTTACTTCGTGGCCGTTTTGTTTAGTTCTACATGCAGTCGTTATTGCCCGTTCCATCCTGTTGACAATTCCAGCAGACGCGTTCGCCTAAAATGTCCTGGATTACATACAGTTAACTAATGCCATTCAGGTCACCACAGAATCAAAAGCACCTGTAATGGTTTCAAAGTGAGAGGATCTTTTGTTCCGATCCTGAAAATTGGTTTTATTTTTGAAGAAATTTGGTTCTGATATAAGATTTGAGGCTTTGCATGGTGGAGTATCGGTATCGTTTCGGTTTGCGGTAACACCATGTGGTAATAACTACTGCTTAGAAGATATTTAGTTCTGAAAAGAACTTGTCCTGCTTATTATCAACTTTCGCTAAGTAGTTTTTTTGTTCTGATAAGAACAGTCCTGCTTTAAGTTCTAAAAGAATTTGTCTTGAAATTTGGTTCTATTATTGACATGTATTTGGAGCATCCTTTTTGTTGTTAAATGAATACATCACCATGAAACACGAGACAAGTTTTACATGAGACTGTCTGGGGCAGGTTCACCTGCTCCACTTAATAGTCTGCTGAATAAGTAATTATGTCACTTGAGACTTCCATGGTTTCTCAACTGTTAATATAATCAACAGAAGTTATCACGATCGATCAAATTACATAGTTTTAGCTGATGAGAACAAAGGAATATGATATTCCTGACAATTTGGACCACCTACCGACATTTTGCCAGTGACTCGCTGAGAAACAACAGTACTACAAGTCTTTTCTATTGTTTATAAATGGTGCGTTAGAATTCAAAGGCAGTTGAACACCGCCAGCATTGGAGAAGCAAGTAATCTTTGCGCTCACCAATTCATCGAATCAACTTGCCACAACTATTACACAGACGTTCATTAGTTCAACGCAAATAAGGTACGTAATGCTTACAACAATATGAACTGATGCATGTCTGAAAGGACGGAAACTTTTTAAGGATTTTGTCTTGATTCGTTTTCAAACGTCGAATTTCACTTTTTGCATTTTGTGTATTGTATGCATAACGGTTTTTGCTCAATAGAACTACGATGTTTGAATAAGTAAACATACGTCAACAAAGACGGACCACGATGACTGGGAACAGAGCCACAACAGAAAAACGGCCTTTTATCAAGGAAGAATAGAGCAACTCGTGATGAATAGAATAATGAATAATGACATTAAAAAAAATTGTAAAAATAACACCCGCTTTTCTTTATCTTAAAAACTTCGCTATATACATGAGAGATGTTTTTGCTAAATAGAAAAGTAAAGGAAAAATAAATGTGGACGGGAACAAATTCTATCGCTATATAATAACCGCAAAATATAAACTTGGTGATTGTGTTTAATGCGGATTTTTTGGGGGAATTTTCAACAAAAATAATTAGAGATAAAGACTCGTTAATCATTGAACTGCGTCCTTGAAAATCATTTCTTCGTTTCATTTATTTACAGCTTCCCTGGCATCATGAAGGTATTCGGAGCAGTTTTTCTTATGTTGCTGGTTGTCGGTGTGCCGGTCAGAGGTATCCAAAGAGAAGTCGACAGTCTTTCCAAGAAGGTAAGATACATAACTTGAATACAAATATTTTTTGAAGTAGTACAGTGGAGTCTCCCAACGTGACGCACTTTTTGCCCCGATTTTCCTTATGCAATGCTGCCAAAACTCTTTTTTGACGAACTTCAAATTCGTTCGGTGTCATAAGATTGGTACGATAATAATGTTCGCTTTGGTCTTGTCAACAGTTTGAGTTATGAATTCAGACCGAAATTTATTTTAAACATACGGTGGCGTCCGAAAATTGGGCAAACAATCGGCCGGATGTACCCTGATATAGCGCACTTTAGCCAAATCTCAGAAATTCCGAAATTAATATTTCAGAATTCATTTATTTCACATTTATTTCCAACTCTGTATGTATAAATGCCAATAATATCAATCATATAAAGAAAAAGGAAATCACACGATTAAATAATGTAACTGAGCAATGAGTGTCAAATGGGGTATTGAAGGCACATTCAAGAAGCCGAGGCTTCAGGCGAAGATGCCGTAAACAACAAAGCATTCTAAACAGAAACGCTAACATGTACAAAGAATAACTATTGATTAGAGAAAAGCGAAAACAACGAACGGACAAAAACTGAAAGCTTGCTAATCGTAAATAAGTCAAACTTTAAAACAGAGGGTAAAATGGCAAAGCAACACACAGAGGGAATGAAACCTAAAGCAATTGCGAATTACTTGACAAACCCCGATATATCAAACTACGTTTGTCGGAAAACATAATGTTTGGGCACATTTTAGAAGGCTTCACTGCGCATCCTTACATCGTAATATTTCGCGCCAAAGTCAACTTTCTCTCACAACTATAATGTAACGGGAATGTGAACTCAAGGTATATGAACAGCAATGTATAGAGCTTTGATAAACTGTCACTTTCATAAGTTTTTTTCTTCATAATAACGATTGTCACCCCTTTTGTTCTTTCACAGACCACCGGTTATGATGGCTTTATCGACCAACTCATCACCGACGGAGCGGGTAACATTGACAGAGCCTGCATCATCCCCAGAGATGGCGGCAGCTTGCTATCAAGCTCCGACCATCCTCACGCTCTGCATATGACTGTGGAAGAGCGGCTGGAGATAGCTGAAGCTTTAAGAGATAACAGCTGGTCCAGTATCGAGACTGAGGGTTTGTTTGTGGAAGGTCAGAAATACATCTTCTTGGGGGTAGACGAAGATGGTATCTTTAAGGGGCTGAAGATTGGACCAGGGGGTGGTGGGGTCATTGGTGAGCCGAGCAATGCGGCTATCGTTGTTGTTCATACTTCCTCGAGCTCATTTTTCACAATGGTTCAAGTTAACATAGTCCTGGGCCAAGTTGTGGAAGCTATGAAATCCCAAGGCCTGTAAAATGGAAGATTTTTTTTGATCACCCATTGAAAAAAGTCACATGGCTACTATCAATAGTGTTATTTTCCTAAAGGTATCATTATGGAGACACGTTATCGTTTATTTGAACTTAGGGAGACAGTCGACCTTAGTGAGACATTTCAATGTCTCACTATTAAAGGTCTCAAGTTCTATTTAGAAGCAAACATCTGATGTAGGAAATAGGCTTGATCGTTGCTTAATTGTGGTCCAAAACAATTATATGTATTCACAAAATTTAGTTCAGGGGTCATGAAAGTTTGAAAAATGTTGTGCACATTATACGATAATAATACTTATTGTATGTCATTATTGGTGTTATAACAACCACAAAATTGAACCAATAGGGAGACGCTTATGCTCAGATGTTATACATTCGGGAGACATTTGAAATTAGGGAGACATTTCAATGTCTCCCTATACCTCAGCTCCTATAAAGGCAACATTTTGCTGGCGCAAATAGGCTAGATCAATTGCTCATTGTCCGATTAGCAAAAATACGAAAATTTGTGGGGGAAGGATATAAGTATAATTGAAGTAAGGGGTCACAAAAGTCGGATTATTATTTGTGACAAGTCTATGGGAACGTCTCCCTAATGGTATGATTATCGTTTATCATTATATTCATCAATTCATGTAACATTTCTTCTATATACAACGAGACGGTTATGTTGCTTTAAGCATGCATTGGTATTTCTTCACTTACTTCCCAATTAAAGATATCATATCTCGATTTTTAAAACTCACAAACTTCTTAATTGTGACATAAGTAGGCCTACTATCCTTATTGCATTTATGTGTTACCTTTAAAATATGGTGAGATTTCTGACAAACATCTAGGAAAACTTGATTCACTTGATAATTTTTGGGAAGAATTTAGAAACACTGGTTGTTATCATATATTATGTCATAAATACTCACAATTATACTGTCTTGATCTTAACTTAAATTGCTTTTTTCCCTCCCAACTGTGCTTGGTAATATATCTATGTACTTCTTTTAATCACATAATGGTACATGTACCAAATATGGTATAATGATAAAGAAAATAGCAACTGCATTTTGTTATATTTTCTTTGTGACTTCATTAAGCTGTTTTCATGTCAAGAGAGAATCAAAGAGGTTGGTTGGGGTGGCTGACCAACCCTCTTTTGTTCAAATCGTGATTTGTTGATTCAAGCCATGATCTTTGTTAATGCATTGACGTTTAATACTGCAACGCCTCAACCCCCCTGTTATTATCTATTATGTTTGACCCCAACATTGCAACCTGTAAATAGGCCCGAAAATCACGATTTGCACTTGGCCTTCAAATTATGCAGTTTTAGAGCATTTTTAAGGCTTTGAGTTTTAAAAGATGAGTGGAAACCGTGCAGACGACTGCGAACTCTATGGTGTGAAATGTGGATGAAAGTAGGCCCCAACATGGCCGATTTTGCACTGGAGTGTATATGCGTCCGTTTTCAAAATGGCCGCGATGGGCTTCAGGCCTGCTTTGGGGCGGTCATCTTTGTCTTTGGATGGAATGTTCTCCCAACAGACACTGGATAACCCATCAAGATGATGAAATAAGCTTTAATTTGATGTGTGTCTCAAACACCTTGGAGAGTAATGATTATTTTAAAATAATTTTGGGAATTATAAGAGCGCGTAATTTTCAATTAGGTTTATGGCAGTCTATTTACACGTCTTGTCTGCAAGGATGGGGCCAGGATGTCGCCAGGATGGGGCAAGGGGCGCAACCCCCCCCCCCTCTCCCCATGAAAAAGCAAAAGAAAAGGAGATAAAAAGAAGAAGAAAAACAAGACGAAGACGAGGTGCGAAGTCATATTGCATATTAAACAACATGGGCGTCCGCAGGGGTGTCAATGGGGGTGGGGTTGGCAAATGTCCCCCCACCCACCCTCGAAAAAAAAGAGATAAATTGAGAATATGCTAGGGAAAGTACAATGATTTTTGTGAAATGTGCTTTGCCCCCTCCAGAAAAAAAATCCTGGCGACGCCCATGCTCATGGAGCCCATGAGCCTCATTAGGTTTCATTGTTTATTGGAGTTTAAAGAGAAGGGGGGGGGGTAGGGGTCGACTGATTTTCGGAATAAAGAGTACTGTCGACGAAATCTTTTTTTAATTGTGAGCAAAAGTTCGTGCATGGTTTCTCAACCAAAGTGTTATATCCACTGAGCTGAAACTTCGACAGGCTAGGTTTTTAACATTCTTCTTTGGATCTCGAGTGGTGTAAAAAAGCAAATTATCCTAGTACGCATTTAAGAATGTCGACCTAGATTTACGCCACTGTATATACGAAAGCTACCAAAGAGATAATAATAACGCTAAAAGCTAACGCACAATTTAACCCCCCCCCCCCCCTTGGGCCGACGGAAGCCTCCGCCTCATGGCGTCACGTGATTAATTTATACAGGTAGCATAAAATGGTACGAGAGTAGAGCGCGTAATGAATATGCATGGTATATGACGTCACTAGAAGCTCATGAGTAATATATCACGCACGGTACTGAGATATACATGTAGATGCACACTGTATGTGCTGCATCCCACTTACCGATGATCATCACATGTAACAAGTCCTCTTTTTACTGTCGCGCCGCCACCCTCTAGTGTCGTCCCACTTACCGATAATCATCACATTTAACAAGTCCTCTTTCTACTGTCGCCCCACTTGATGATCATCGGTAAGTGGGGCAACAGTAGAGGGTGGCGGCGCGACAGTAGAAAGAGGACTTGTTAAATGTGATGATCATCGGTAAGTGGGGCGACACTAAAGGGTGGTGGCGCGACAGTAGAAAGAGGACTTGTTAAATGTGATGATCATCGGTAAGTGGGACGACACTAGAGGGTGGTGGCGCGACAGTAGAAAGAGGAGTACTCCACTCAACGCGAATACGTACCGTGATATATTACTCATGAGCTTCTAGTGACGTCATATTCATGCATATTCATTACTCGCTCCGCTCTCGAACCTTTTCATGCTACCATTAACATCGCTCAAGCCTAATATTGTATCCCAGCATGCATCACTCATAACATGGCCGCTCCATGAATGTACGTCCGTATCACTACGTGGACTGTGTCGATGCGAAATAAGCACTAACCAAGGGGACATCCGCCGACTTGAGCCAAGTCCAACTGTCTACATGCTGGACGTGACTGGATCAATGGTCAACCGTTGGTCAGCCACAGGGCGCTAGCCTTTATTCGAGACTTGTTTGGCTGCTCCATTCATCACCGTGCAGGCTGTGGATATTTACGTGAACAGAACAGGTAATAAAAGTTCATTGAACTAGTAATACACGGCTATTGACAGGTTTTTTTTAACTCTCCAAATGGCTTATTTTGTTGGTCAACCTTGAATTTAATGCAATGACGTCAATATACAAGTAGCCTCGATCTAATTATTTATTTCATATTTATTACATTAATACATTACAATACAAAACAATAACACAGCGGCGTAGCCAACGTTTTCACCATGGGGGGGGGGGGGGGGGGGGGAGTGGGGAGGGGGTTTGGGGCTAGTGGTGGAGGCGAGTGGGGGGTGGGGGCGAGTTGGGGGAGGGGCGAGTGGGGTAGGTGCCCAACATTAAAGGGAAGATACAACATTTGCAAACATCTCAAAACGAAATGATCAAATTATCAGAAAATACCTTACTGGATTGTTAGACAGTGACAGTCTAAAGCATTCTGTAAAATTGTGGCTCCTGGTGTGCTGACATTTTTAAGAAAAATGGTATTTATTTTCAAAAACTGCTCCTTAATATGTTTCCTTATTAGTTATTTCACATTTTCTTTGCAATTGATTACACACCTATGAAGGGGTACAAGCCTTCTAGACTGATTCTCTGACCTTACAATTCCCCAAAGTCTAAATTGCATCTACAAGCCCAAACAGGAAACAAGTTATTTTTAGCAATATTTGCTATAACATACTGATCCTCCAAGTTGGTTTATTTCAGAAAGTTGCAGCAAAAGCAAATGTTGTACATTCCCTTTAAGCATTCGTGCTGAAAGAAAGACAGAGTTTTTTAGGCCGCTCGTGACAACAAAGGACTAACAAATTTTGGCTTCGCCGATTAAACACATACAATATGGCTCGATCTGTACTGATGACGTCACACTTTGTTTACATGTGCACTTTCCTATGGAGCCATGCAGTGGGGCTCACGGTCCACTGAGCACCGTAGGAAAACACACACGTAAACAAAGTGTGACGTCATCAGTACAGAGGCTTATTACAAATACATTACAACAAAATAAAAACACATGGAAGGAATGCATAACTGTTAAAACAATTATTACAACTATTACAACTGCGCCGAACTAGGCTTTACTAACGTAAGGTGAACTTAAACAAAATGTTTTATATTTGTGCCATCAAGAAGGCTCATGATTGGATTATTACGGGAGGGCCGAAGCCCTTTTGGGAGAAAACCCAGCGGGGGTTTATCTGGATCCCTATTTCTATGAATCCTAATGGACCGATCCAGTAAGCACCGCCCCATGGTGTTCTGACCAATCACATCCATGATTTATGTCCGACGTGCGTGCACAAAAGTCCGACATGCGTGTACGCGCGTATGATGCGCGCGGCAGCAAAATGCAGTGTGGCATTGGAGAGGGGCACGTGTTAATTTGCCCAGTGCGCAGTGGGCGGGGCTTACTGGATCGGTCCATTGTTTAAGTGAGCATTTAAAGATTAAATTCTCGGAAATTGACGTTCATTTGCATTCTAGGAAGGAGCAAACTCTGACGGATACACCAGTTGAGTCCACACAGTGACGTCACGGTGCTCGAGGACTTGAACTGCATCGGGAATTAAGTCAGCCTTGTGTTATCGTCATTGAAGCATCTGCCATTTTGGGACGTTGGATAAAGAGAAAAATCATCGGTAAATAACATGGGCGTCACCAGGATTTTTTTCGGGGGGGGGGGGCAAGGCAAATTTGTTCCCAAAATTCCTTAACTTTTTCATTATATTTTCATTTTTTTCCGAGCGTGAGCAGGGGAGTATTTGCCCTACCCCCCCCCCCATAAAGTTAACAGCAATATAGCTTTGCACCTCTTTTTCCTTCCTTTTTTTCTTTTTCTTTTCCCCTTTTTTTTTCGTTTTCCGGGGGGGGGGGGGAGTGCCCCCCTTGCCCCCCCCCCCCGCGACGCCCATGCTGGGTAGTTAAAATAGTAATGTAACTCTTTATTTTGTCTTTACATCTTGGTCTCTCTAGATCCTGTATCGTCAAGCAAGAAGTGACAAGAGACTGAAGACTAAAGAAGACTGACGACATAGTGGATGAGATCGATGTTCTGTAACAAACTAGATTGTAAATTGTAATTTTTGTGTGGATTGCATTATTATATCAGTGCAGCGTAGTTGTTGGTTACCTTTATTCCCCGGTTGTACTCAATAGATTCCAAATCATGGATGTTTCCCAAGTCCCAGAAAAGAAAGCAAACACTCTGAAAGAAGAAGAACATCAGCAGTCTGGGGGTGGTGGGCATGGTCTCTCCTCAGCGCAAAAGAGAATGGTCATGATGCAGCAAGCAGCCCCCGAATCAACCGCTTATGTTGAAACGATTGCGGTTCGCACCACCAACCAAATAGAACCACGGGATGTTTTCAAGACTCTTACCTCACTGCATCCCATACTGACCTCCAAAATAGACATGGATGGAGACAGACAGGAGTTTATTGTTACTTTGGGTAGCAATGTGGCCTTCGACGTCAAGCCTGAAGTCTTAGATGCTGACAATGATGTTGAGGATTACATCAAGCAGTCAACACCAGTGATGGATATTTTTCACGAGCCTCTCGTTCAGTATCGGTACTGCATTCAGGGAGAAAACCACATCCTTGTACTTCATATTCATCATTTGATTGTCGACATCGTAACAATTATCAACATATGGAAAGATGTCCACGGTCTGATAGAGGGCGCCTCCAACGTTCAAGGAGCTCCAGTATCACCTACTTCCTATTCAACATTTGTAGCTTGGGAGAGCACCGAACGACAATCAGCACGACACGGAGCTGACCAAGTTTTTTGGAAAGAGACTTTCTCAAGCATGCCAACTCGGGCAAGTTTGGCTGTTCTTCCCTTGAGCGAGTGTGAATGGAGTGACGCAAGTGTCTGCAAGGCGAGGCAGGCCAAAATCATCCTCCCAAGAGAGTCGACGGAATCGATCAGTAAGTACTGCAAGTCGATTGGCGTGACGCCATTCAAGTACTATCTGGCTTGCACCATGCTGGTTTACCAGCGATACATCGGGACTGAAGACGTTACTCTTGCAGTTCCGATTTCAACAAGACCTCAGGCGCACCAAAACACCGATGGTCTCTTTGTAAATACAGTTTTCTTTCGAAAAGTCCTGCGAACCGACATGACCTTCACAGATTACGTAAAAGATGTTGCCAAAAGCTGGATGGAGACGTACAGTCACTCTCAGTATCCTCTTGAAGAGGTTGTTAAGATCGTAAAAGAGGCGCATGGAATGAGTATGTCATCATTCTGTTGCATGATGTTTGGTAGCTACACCATGCAGACATCTAATGTGATGCGTATACCTGCAAAGCACGCCAAGATGCCTGTAGAATTTGACGTCATTTTCAAGAGGGGAGAGGAGACAATCGAAATCGTTGTAAATTGGGCAGAGGAATTCATTGATGCAGGTGTAGCTCAGAGATTGGCTGAAGGTATGGTTCATACGTTCTGTAAAGCCTATCAACAAGCAGACGATGTCACGCAGAGCATTCAAGTCTTATCTTCTGCAGAGCTGGACCTTCTTGAGTCGTTCAGTCGTCATCCTGGGGAAAGTCAAACAATCCCTGAACAACCAGTTCATGTGGCATTTGAAGACCACGCTGTCAAGAATCCAGAGTTGATCGCAGTGTCTTGTAGAGATGTTTCTCTTACATACAAGCAGCTCAATATTATGGCCTCCAGCATTGCTCAGGGTCTCCTTGAAAACACCGACCAAGTTACACTTCAAAAGAGACCGGTTGTCATCGCCATGCAGAAGGATGAATACACAGTGGCATCGGTGCTTGGAATCTGGAAAGTCGGTGGTCACTTCTTACCTGTTGGAGTTAGTAATCAGAATTCATTGAAGGGAATCTTTGAGAGGTGTGAGCCAGCCGCTGTGCTCTATAACACTAGACTCAAGGATTTATCAATTCCCACCACGAAGCAATGTCCTGTCCTCAACGTCAAGGATCTCATCACGTGTCCTGCAGATGATATGGTTCAAAGCAGATTGGTTGGGAAGACACCTGTGGACAACTTGGCATATGTAATCAGGACCTCAGGATCGACAGGAATTCCCAAACAATGCAGCATTTCTCACAGGAGCCTTGGTATTATAGCTGCAGCCTCTACAAAGATGTACAACTTACCTGACATGACAGTGAACTGTCTCCAGTGGGCACCCATCTCATTTGCCGTCTTCATAGCGGATTTGGTCAGAGCCCTAGTATCTTCTCCTGGCCGATTGACTATCTGTCCAGATGAATTCCGGTTGGATGTCTTCCAGATACTGGATCTCATCCACGAGCAGAATGTCACTATGGCAGAGTTCACACCCCAGTTTGCTCGACAGCTTGTGGAGAATGCCAAGCTCGATCAGCTGGAATCCATCCAACTCTTAATCATTGGATCTGATGTACTCCAAGTACACGTCTACAGCAGAATCAAGGATCTTTTGAATCCAAATCAAAGAGTTCTAAATAGTTTTGGGATGACAGAGGCTACCTTTGACTCGTCTTTCTTTGAAGGACCAGTTGTGTCAAGGACCAGGAGTGGAATGGTGCCGATTGGGAAACCATTTCCTGGAGTTCGATTCCATGTCTTGAATCCCTCAACCTTACAACCATGCCCTGTTGGTACAGTCGGTGAACTGTACATCAGTGGTGATGTCTTGGCATCTGGGGATGCAGAGCTAGTTCACTTGGAGCATCTTCAATGTGTGGCACTGAAGACAGGTGATGCAGCTTACTGGCTGCCAACTGGAGACATTGATCTGATGGGTAGACTGAATAGCATGGTCAAACTAAGAGGGTTCAGGATTAGCACTAAAGAGATAGAAAACAAGATACTGCAACTTGTTCCTGGAGTAAAGGCCGCCTGTGTTGTTCCTATGACTAACAGTGAAGAGTCTGGCAGCACTGATCAGTCTTTGTGTGCCTTTCTAGTGCTTGATGAGAGCAGCCAAACTGGTGGTATCGAGATAGATCGCAGATCTGTTTGCCAAAAGCTACAAGGTGACCTCCCGTATTACATGCTGCCTAATATTGTCAGCATCATAGACGAAGTGCCGCTAACTCCGAACGGAAAGGTAAACTACAAAATACTTCGGAGTATCAATGATGTTGTCAAGATGGAGACTAAGAAGGAGACCACGGATAACACGGTGGAAACTAAAACTGCCTCAACTTTGAGAATGTTGTTGGCTGAAGCGATGGGCTTTCCAGACTCAAGTCGAATTCCAAGTGATACAACGTTCATGGAATTAGGCGCCCACTCTCTCGTCCTGGTACGATTCTCGGTGCTTCTGAGACAAAAAACAAACTTTGATGTCAAGATAACGGATCTATGTGATTATACATCCATACGATCTCTCGCTGATTACATTGAACAGCAAACACGATAATTATAGACGTGCAGCGCAGACGTACCCCCTCAACGGTGGACATGAGTTCTGGCGAAGATACATGACCGCATAGAACATTCAAATTCGATACTCTGACGTGCGATAATAGTGTGTTTCGGTCTCTTCAAATAAACAAATATTTGTTTGTATTTATGATATTACAGGCCCCCTAAATCTGATCTTGATTATAGAAACGAAGAATGGAAATTGCTCTTCAAATTTTTATCATAGTTAGAGGACCGGATGTTTTGATCCCAGCACGAACTTTTGCAAAGGCAAGAAAAAAATAAAAAAGAAGTAGTTTAATTATTAGGCTAAACAGTTGACTCCAGGAGACCAATTTTTGTTTGTTAGTGGGAAATTATTTGGAAGCGCATTCATTTTTAATATATTTTTCTTTAACTAGTCGGTAGTAAGGGTTTTATAAGTTATTTTATTTTGTCGAATCGTCGAATATTACTCTTGAAGTCTTTGGTGTATATTTGCTCGATGTTAAGAAACTATTAGAATTGTTATTACTCTCGCGCTAAACAACTGCCTCAACTTTGAGAATGTTGTTGGCTGAAGCGATGGGCTTTCCAGACTCAAGTCGAATTCCAAGTGATACAACTTTCATGGAATTAGGCGCCCACTCTCTTGTTTGTATTTATGATATTACAGGCCCCCCAAATCTGATCTTGATAATGTAGAAACGAAGAATGGAAATTGCTGTTCAAATTTGTATTATAGTTGGAGGATTGGATGTTTTGATCCAAGCACGAACTTTCGCAAAGGCAAGAAAACAATAAAATAGAAATAGCTTAATTGTTAGGCTAAAAAATTGACTCCAGGAGACCAATTTTTGTTTGTTAGTGGGAAATAATTTGGAAACGCATTCATTTTTAATAGATTTTCTGCAACTAGTCGGTATACGGGTTTTATAAGTTATATTATTTTGTCGAATATTACTCTTAAGTCTTTGGTGTATATTTGCTCTATGTTAAGAAGTTACCAGCATTGTTATTACTCTCGCGCTAAACAAACTGCCTAAACTTTGAGATAATAGTGTGTTTCGGTCTCTTCAAATAAACAAATATTTGTTTGTGTTTATGATATTACAGACCCCCCAAATCTGATCTTGATAATATAGAAACGAAGAATGGAAATTGCTGATCAAATTTTTATTATAGTTGGAGGATTGGATGTTTTGATCCCAGCACGAATTTCGCAAAGGCAACAAAACAATAAACTAGAAATAGCTTAATTGTTAGGCTAAAACATTGACTCCAGGAGACCAATTTTCGTTTGTTAGTGGGAAATTATTTGGAAACTTATTCATTTTTAATAGATTTTTCTGCAACTAGTCGGTATACGGGTTTTATAAGTTATTTTATTTTGTCGAATATTACTCTTTAAGTCTTTGGTGTATATTTGCTTGATGTTAAGAAGTTACCAGAATTGTTATTACTCTCGCGCTAAACAAACTGCCTCAACTTTGAGATAATAGTGTGTTTCGGTCTCTTCAAATAAACAAATATTTGTTTGTGTTTATGATATTACAGGCCCCCTCAATCTGATCTTGATAATGTAGAAACGAAGAATGGAAATTGTTGTTCAAATTTTTATCATAGTTGGAGGATCGGATGTTTGATCCCAGCACGAACTTTTGCAAAGGCAAGAAAAAAATAAAATAGAAGTAGTTTAATTAAATAGGCTAAACAGTTGACTCCAGGAGACCAATTTTCGTTTGCTGGTGGGAAATTATTTGGAAGCGCATTTATTTTTTAATAGTCGGTAGTAAGGGTTTTATAAGTTATTTTATTTTGTCGAATCGTCGAATATTACTCTTTACGTCTTTTGGTGTATATTTGCTCGATGTTAAGACATTACTGGAATTGTTATTACTCTCGCCGCACTAAACAAACCAGCGTCAGAAAAATATCGTTGATTTCACTGACGATTCAAGTTTGATAATTTGTTTGGGCAGAACGATATCTTAGAATGTAGATTGACTGCATAATGGGAGATCAATCTTCGAGGCCTAGACTGTGATCATCTTGGTCCAAGTTTGGCTATTTTTTGCAGTAAAATCTGAGCACTAGTAACAATGTAATAATATTGTAACGAAGCTTGGCGGTCTAAGGACTTATAATTGGAATGGCTTCAACTCACGGGACAGAATTTAATCGGTAGGAAAGAACGGACCAGTGATGGGGGTAACAGCAACAATAAACAGATGAAATAAAGATGGAAGATGGACACGAAATAATACCGTCTTGGCACTCTCTGATCTTTAATTATTCTTGTCAAAACACAATCATTCGTATACAATTTCTACTCACACTATGTCGTCCACAGTAGTAGCCCGTGCAAAAATTCAGACCTTGTTCCTTGAATCCCAGCTCTAGACTGACATGACTGTACTAAACCCCGCGCGCGCTTTGCGCGCCGCGCGCCCAGAATTAACACAGTGTATATAATTTGCCCTAGAAAATAGATAGGTCGCGAGCTGTTGTCTGACTGTTACTACGCGCAGCGCCTCCAGTCGTCCTAGTACATTACAATAATAAAGTCACAAGGACAAAATTCAAGTGCTGCTTCTCATAATATTTGCAATAGATCTTATTGACAAGGACGCCGTTTTTTAGATCGTTTGGAGTGCAAGTGAAGCCTCACTTTCAATTTTTATTTAATGTGGCTTACAACATAAATTATTCATCACAAATTGACAATAGTCTATTGTCTTCCAAAGATTGTCTGTGTCTGTACAGTAGCATTAATGTGATATTTACCCTGACCCATTGAGTGATTTATAGGAATCGTCCTTACTCTGATTATGGTGGTATGCCTAACCCCTTGTAAAGCACAATCAGTAAATCGTGCAGTACTCACTCCTACAGATTTCAACAAAACATGCATTTGGATTTTGAAGGGTTGGGGTGGTTTGGGGTAAAAGAACTATGGACAGCCGCATCGTGAAACAAAGTTTAAATGATGAGAGGAGGTTAAATTTTTTTTTTTTTAAGGCAGCTCTCTCTCTAATTTGCTATAAAACTTCTTGCAGAATAAAAAAATCTTCATGATTATTCTTTCACATAATATTTTTTTAAGATTATGATATTGTTGCATAATAAAGACTGTTCTCAATGGATTTGCAATACCTAATATGTCAAACGCGGCCACTGCATTCTTTAACAATCCAAAAAATTAATATTTTGTATTTTTTCTATGAATTTTATGAATTTTATGGTCAGGATACCTCTCCTGCTTTAATTGTGTATATACGAAAGATACCAAAGAGACAATAATAACGTTAATAGCTAACGCACAATAATTAAGCCCCCCCCCCCCTTGGGCCGACGGAAGCCTCCGCGGCCTCATGGCGGTACGTGATTAATTTATGGTTCCAGACCAGTAAGTAAACTTCCATAGAGAAATTTCCATCCGAAGATGACCACCCCTGAAAATAGTCCTGAAGACCATCGCCATTTTGAAAAACGATGCCTACACTCCATTGCAAAATAGAGCGCTTTAAGGGCCAAAATTTCATCCAAATTGAACGGAACTACAAGCTCACAGTCCTGTGCACGGCTTCCACCCATATTTTTTTTTAAACTCTCAAGTTCATGGCCCACAGCATCCTCAAATACTGAAGATCGTGACTTGGCCGGCGTAGGCAATCAGTCGGACCGATTTACTGGTCTGTAACCTTTATACATCGCGCAGGGCCTAATATTTTATCCCAGCATACATCACTCATAACATGGCCGCTCCATGAACGTACGTCCGTATGTACTATGTGGACTTGTATCGATGCGAAATAAGCACTAACCAAGGGGACATCAAACTTGAGCCAAGTCCAGCTGCCTACATGCTGGACGTGAATGGATTAATGGTCAACCGTTGGTCAGCCACAGGGCGCTAGCCTTTATTCGAGCCTTGTTTGGTTGTTCCATTCACATAGTGACCGTGCAGGCTGTGGATATTAACGTGCAAAGAACAGGTAATTAAACTTCACTGAACTAATACACGGCTATTGATTTAAAAAAAAAATCTTTCCAACGGCTTATTTTGTTGGTTAACCTTGAATTCAATGCAATGACGTCAACAAGTAGCCTCGATCTAATTGTTTATTTATTTATTTATTTCACATTTACTACATTTCTTAACCCAGGTCACGCATACTGAGTGCCGATTCAAGCCGTTTAAAACTGGTTTTCACTGAGTTGACCCTGCATATACATACAAATACAATACAATGCAAATACAATTCAATAGAAGGTTTTGCCCTTCATATTATGCCCTTCATATACACTGTATACTCAGTGTGTTACCCCGGACATGCCCGAGTGAACGTAAACAAAATCATACGGGTGGACACCGGTAAATAGGCCTAAATCCATCCGCCGAGCTCATGAATAAAAGTTATACCCTCAAAATATTCTATTTTAGAGAGTTCTAATTCTAAGCGCCGTAAATTTGGGCAATTGAAGAGATATGGTAATGAACCTCTGGCCCGTACTTGGGCTTCCAATTCTGAGCATTTTGGATGCTATTGGGCTCGAAAGTGGCGCTATTTTGCCATGTTGTGGAGGGATCGTTTTTCTCCGCTTTGGGGAAAATAGGGGTCGTCTTCTTTGGGTGAGAATATCTCGAAAAGTCAATGGTCAACCTACCAAAAAATGAAAAGAAAACGAAAGATGACATGTTGATCTTCATTTTTCTGTGCAGCGTGATCAGAGTTCTGAGTATTTTAAAAAGAACTTTGAAGTATTGACATTTATCAGTAGTGTCTATGGGAATTTATTTGTAGGGTTTTATCCATACGGGTGGGACCTTATATTGAATTAACATCACCCGATGCTAAAATTCCATTTTATGAACAATACAATTACAACTACACAATACATTACTAATACAAAACAATAACACAGCGGCGTAGCCAACGTTTTCACCATGGGGCGCGAGTGGGGGAGGCGGTTTTTTTTTGGGGGGGGGGGGGGGCTAGTGGTGGAGGCGAGTAGGGTGGGAGCGAGTGGGGGGGGGGGGGGGAGTTGGGGGAGGGGCGAGTGGGGGCGAGTGGGGTAGGAGCCAAACTTTTATAGCATCCGTGCTGAAAGATAGGAGACAGGTTTTTTTTTAACCTGTACCTCAGAGGCTTATTACAAATACATTACAACAAAATAAAAACACATGGAAGGAATACATAACTGTTCAAACAATATATTATCGTCAAACTATTACAATTAATTTCGCCGAACAGGCTTTACTAACTGAGTTAACTTTTACAATGTGATTTATATTTTGTGCAATCAAAAAAGAAAGAAAGAAGGCTCAAGATTGGCTGATTACAGGAGGGGCGAAGCCCTTTTGGGAGAAAACCTAGCGGGGTTATCTGGATCTCTATTTCTATGACTCCTAATTATTTAGGTGAGCATTTAAAGATAAAATACTCGGAAATTGACGTTCATTTACATTCTAGAAAGGAGCAAACTCTGACGGATACACCAGTTGAGTCCACACAGTGACGTCACGGTGTTCGAGAACTTGAACTCATCGGGAATTAAGTCAGCCTTGTGTTATCGTCATTGAAGCATCTGCCATTTTGGGACGTTGGATAAAGAGAAAAATCATCGGTAATTAAGGAAATCTCACCTGCTGTTAACGTTGATCAAGGGCGGATCGGGGGGGGCAAAAGGGGGCCATGGCCCCCAAAAAACGATTTTTTTTTTTTGTTTTAGTGACCTCGCAATAAATGCAGGCAAGGAGTACACCACCATCTTTTCCTTAAAAAAACATTGGTTAAGTGGTCAGAAACTGCCTCAGATCGCACCACAGAGCATCTAGAATGCAAAAAACTTCCGGGGCCCTTAAGCGAGCCCCGAACCCCACGCCGTAATTTTTTTGACACACTTTTTATTGACCAAAATTGTTTTTGGCCCCCCAAAATTGTGTTCTGGATCCGCCCTTGACGTTGACGAAATGCCCACTTCAGTCACGATTCCCTTAGGCCTACTGGTCATTGTCCTGTAATTGTAATTTGGGGTCCACTTTTTTAATTCCCTATCCCTGTTACATCTGATATTTTTGGTCATTTAATTCTGTATCAACGCCTTAATGCAGTCATCCTCCAAGAGTGATTAAGAATAACAGCAACGTACCAAAACAACAAATAAACAAACATATTAAAGTTATTCTGAAAGGGGCATAAAAGTATTTTCTTTACTATGCAAATGCACCTTTGCATCCCATTTAACCTTATTTTCAATTCCCGTTTTGCCATTTCAAAGTACTTTTTGATGGCCTTTTGGTTTTTAATGTGAATTTGTAAATTCATGAGCAAAACTGCGATGTCATATCAGGCAGAGGCCACAATGATACAGCTGATAACTATCAGCACAAAAAGTTGCCAGAATTTTGGATATTGAGCTGTTACAAATATTCTTTTTCTTTGGTGATTCTTTGTTGTGTCATTGTAGTAAGCCAAAGAGCCCCCTTAATGTTTATCAATGAGCAAATTTGGGGTTCACGATTTGAACAGAAAACACCGAAACTGATGAACAGTGTCTTCCTGAAATGACATCGCTGCACTTGAACAGCGACCTCAGTAGTCAAAAAGCATGAGAAATTGAAAATGTTCAAAGTAGGGCACCTTTCAATAAAATTCACCAAAAAGGGATGACAAATAGGTTTCATGCATTTAAGAGGGGTACAAGTTGCACAAATGAGTTCCGCAGAAAAAATCATCGCATGATACCCATCGCAAGATACTTGTCAAGAGGTTCCAGGGACATGTTAGACCCTAAATTTGTAGTATGACCCTCAGTAAATTTACTAATTTCTCATATTTGATGAACTAACGAAGAATTTAAATTAGTATAGGGAAAGAGGATAATTCTGTCTTATTTGAGATGAATAGTGATCGACCAGACGAACGATCTGAAGTGATAAAGTACCCTGTAAACTTAAAAGATGACAAATTTGGAGTGAAAAAAAACCTAAGATTAGTAAATTTCACTGTAAAGTCTTTAAAATGTTGACTGATTGGATTAGTGTAGCAAAACTAGCATCGAGCTCTCGAGGTGATCCAGATTCAAAATCTGTGGGTGAGGTGGCCCGTGGAAGTATATAATCACTCTGTGGGAATAACTGAGTAGTACTTCTTTAAATGAACCTATACATTCAGCCCACCTGCCGTTCCTGGAAATACGAAGTTGGTGACGGAGCTGAATATCAGCAAACAAGGCTGCGTGGCTCACAACTGACGGCCTCAGCCTGAAGGGGAAATCACTGTCCACAAAACATTCACTGTAATTGAGGTATGATCTCCTTGTTATAATTTATCTGTAATGTATTGTGCATGACCGGAACTGTTTATGGAACTATACAACTGGTACGCGCGCATTAATAACCAAGTACATAACGTGTATAAGTGATGACGTCATGCCATGTGACTGCATCATACAATACCTTTCCAATATGACAGCTTCCAGTGTCACTGTTGACATTATTTTCCCCAAATAAACCGGGCAAATGCACAGCAATTTCCGTTCGCACAAAAATACGTTTTATTGACCCAACTTTTGGGATACAAAAATGATATCACGTTTATTGAAACAAAATTATTAGGTAACTAAAGTTCAATCTTAAAATTCAAGATTGGTTTGACTGGCTAGTTACAAATAGTCGCGTTACTGTTCATTTTATCTTTACATCCTGGTCTCTCTAGATCCTGTACCATCCAGCAAGAAGTGACAGGAGACCAAAGACTAAAGAAGACTGACGACATAGTGGATAAGATCGAGGTTCTGTAACAAACTAGCTTGTAAATTGTAATTTTAGTGTGGATTGCATTATAACAGTGCAGCGTATTTGTTTGTTGCCTTTATTCCCCGGTTGTACTAAATTGATTCCAAATCATGGATGTATCCCAAGTCCCAGAAAAGAAAGCAAACACTCTGAAAGAAGAACATCAGCAGTCTGAAGGTGGTTGGCATGGTCTCTCCTCAGCGCAAAAGAGAATGGTCATGATGCAGCAAGCAGCCCCCGAATCAACCGCTTATGTTGAAACGATTGCGGTTCGCACCACCAACCAAATAGAACCACGTGATGTTTTCAAGTCTCTTACCTCACTGCATCCCATACTAACCTCCAAAATAGACATGGATGGAGAAAGACAGGAGTTTGTTGTTCCTTTGGGTAGCAATGTGGCCTTCGACGTCAAGCCTGAAGTCTTAGATGCTGACAATGATGTTGAGGATTACATCAAGCAGTCAACACCAGTGATGGATATTTTTCACGAGCCTCTCGTTCAGTATCGGTACTGCATTCAGGGAGAAAACCACATCCTTGTACTTCATATTCATCATTTGATTGTCGACATCGTAACAATTATCAACATATGGAAAGATATCCACGGTCTGATAGAGGGCGCCTCCAACGTTAAAGGAGCTCCAGTATCAGCTACTTCCTATTCATCATTTGTAGCTTGGGAGAGCACCGAACGACAATCAGCACGACACGGAGCTGACCAAGATTTTTGGAAAGAGACTTTCTCAAGCATGCCAACTCGGGCAAGTTTGGCTGTTCTTCCCTTGAGCGAGTGTGAATGGAGTGACGCAAGTGTCTACAAGGCGAGGCAGGCCAAAATCATCCTCCCAAGGGAGTCGACGGAATCGATCAGCAAGTACTGCCAGTCGATTGGCGTGACGCCATTCAAGTACTATCTGGCTTGCACCATGCTGGTTTACCAGCGATACATCGGGACTGAAGACGTTACTCTTGCAGTTCCGATTTCAACAAGACCTCAGGCGCACCAAAACACCGATGGTCTCTTTGTAAATACAGTTTTGTTTCGAAAAGTCCTGCGAACCGACATGACCTTCACAGATTACGTAAAAGATGTTGCCAAAAGCTGGATGGAGACGTACAGTCACTCTCAGTATCCTCTTGAAGAGGTTGTTAAAATCGTAAAAGAGGCGCATGGAATGAGTATGTCATCATTCTGTTGCATGATGTTAGGTAGCTACACCATGCAGACATCTAATGTGATGCGTATACCTGCAAAGCACGCCAAGATGCCTGTAGAATTTGACGTCATTTTCAAGAGGGGAGAAGAGACAATCGAAATCGTTGTAAATTGGGCAGAAGAATTCATTGATGCAGGTGTAGCTCAGAGATTGGCTGAAGGTGTGGTTCATACGTTCTGTAAAGCCTATCAACAAGCAGACGATATCACGCAGAGCATTCAAGTCTTATCTTCTGCAGAGCTGGACCTTCTTGAATCGTTCGGTCGTCATCCTGGGGAAAGTCAAACAATCCCTGAACAACCAGTTCACGTGGCATTTGAAGAGCACGCTGTCAAGAATCCAGAGTTGATCGCAGTTTCTTGTAGAGATGTTTCTCTTACATACAAGCAGCTAAATATCATGGCCTCCAGCATTGCTCAGGGTCTCCTTGAAAACACCGACCAAGTTACACTTCAAAAGAGACCGGTTGTCATCGTCATGCAGAAGGATGAATACACAGTGGCATCGGTGCTTGGAATCTGGAAAGTCGGTAGTCACTTCTTACCTGTTGGAGTTAGTAATCAGAATTCACTGAAGGGGATCTTTGAGAGGTGTGAGCCAGCCGCCGTGCTCTATAACACTAGACTCAAGGACTTATCAATCCCCACCACGAAGCAATGTCCTGTCCTCAACGTCAAGGATCTCACCACATACCCTGCAGATGATATGGTTCAAAGCAGATTGGTTGGGAACACACCTGTGGACAACTTGGCATATGTAATCAGGACCTCAGGATCGACAGGAATTCCCAAACAATGCAGCATTTCTCACAGGAGCCTTGGTATTATAGCTGCAGCCTCTACAAAGATGTACAACTTACCTGACATGACAGTGAACTGTCTCCAGTGGGCACCCATCTCATTTGGCGTCTTCATAGCGGATTTGGTCAGAGCCCTAGTATCTTCTCCTGGCCGATTGACTATCTGTCCAGATGAATTCCGGTTGGATGTCTTCCACATACTGGATCTCATCCACGAGCAGAATGTCACTTTGGCAGAGTTCACACCCCAGTTTGCTCGACAGCTTGTGGAGAATGCCAAGCTCGATCAGCTGGAATCCATCCAACTCTTAATCCTTGGATCTGATGTACTCCAAGTACACGTCTACAGCAGAATCAAGGATCTTTTGAATCCAAATCAAAGAGTTCTAAATAGTTTTGGGATGACAGAGGCTACCTTTGACTCGTCTTTCTTTGAAGGACCAGTTGTGTCAAGGACCAGGAGTGGAATGGTGCCGATTGGGAAACCATTTCCTGGAGTTCGATTCCATGTCTTGAATCCCTCAACCTTACAACCATGCCCTGTTGGTACAGTCGGTGAACTGTATATCAGTGGTGATGTCTTGGCATCTGGGGATGCAGAGCTAGTTCACTTGGAGCATCTCCAATGTGTGGCACTGAAGACAGGTGATGCAGCTTACTGGCTGCCAACTGGAGACATGGATCTGATGGGTAGACTGAATAGCATGGTCAAACTAAGAGGGTTCAGGATTAGCACTAAAGAGATAGAAAACAAGATACTGCAACTTGTTCCTGGAGTAAAGGCCGCCTGTGTTGTTCCTATGACTAACAGTGAAGAGTCTGGCAGCACTGATCAGTCTTTGTGTGCCTTTGTAGTGCTTGATGAGAGTAGCCAAACTGGTGGTATCGAGATAGATCGCAGATCTGTTTGCCAAAAGCTACAAAGTGACCTCCCGAATTACATGCTGCCTAATATTGTCAGCATCATAGACGAAGTGCCGCTAACTCTGAACGGAAAGGTAAACTACAAAATACTTCGGAGTATCAATGATGTTGTCAAGATGGAGACTGAGAAGGAGACCACGGATAACACGGTGGAAACTAAAACTGCCTCAACTTTGAGAATGTTGTTGGCTGAAGCGATGGGCTTTCCAGACTCAAGTCGAATTCCAAGTGATACAACTTTCATGGAATTAGGCGCTCACTCTCTCGTCCTGGTACGATTCTCGGTGCTTCTGAGACGAAAAACAAACTTTGATGTCAAGTTAACGGATCTAAGTGATTATACATCCATACGATCTCTCGCTGATTTCATTGAACAGCAAACACGATAATTATAGACGTGCAGCGCAGACGTACCCCCTCAACGGTGGACATGAGTTCTGGCGAAGATACATGACCGCATAGAACATTCAAATTCGATACTGTGACATGCGACAATAGTGTGTTTCGGTCTCTTCAAATAAACAAATATTTGTTTGTATTTATGATATTACAGGCCCCCTAAATCTGATCTTGATTATAGAAACGAAGAATGGAAATTGCTCTTCAAATTTTTATCATAGTTAGAGGACCGGATGTTTTGATCCCAGCACGAACTTTTGCAAAGGCAAGAAAACAATAAAATAGAAGTAGTTTAATTATTACGCTAAAAAGTTGACTCCAGGAGATCAATTGTCGTTTGTTAGTGGGAAATTATTTGGAAGCGCATTCATTTTTAATATATTTTTCTGCAACTAGTCGGTAGTAAGGGTTTTATAGGTTATTTTATTTTGTCGAATCGTCGAATATTACTCTTGAAGTCTTTTAATGTATATTTGCTCGATGTTAAGAAATTATTAGAATTGTTATTACTCTCGCGCTAAACAACTGCCTCAACTTTGAGAATGTTGTTGGCTGAAGCGATGGGCTTTCCAGAATCAAGTCGAATTCCAAGTGATACAACTTTCATGGAATTAGGCGCTCACTCTCTTGTTTGTATTTATGATATTACAGGCCCCCTAAATCTGATCTTGATAATATAGAAACGAAGAATGGAAATTGCTGTTCAAATTTGTATTATAGTTGGAGGATTGGATGTTTTGATCCCAGCACGAATTTTCGCTAAGGCAACAAAACAATTAAATAGAAATAGTTTAATTATTAGGCTAAAAAGTTGACTCCAGGAGATCAATTGTCGTTTGTTAGTGGGAAATTATTTGGAAGCGCATTCATTTTTAATATATTTTTCTTTATCTAGTTGGTAGTAAGGGTTTTATCAGTTATTTTATTTTGTCGAATCGTCGAATATTACTCTTGAAGTCTTTTAATGTATATTTGCTCGATGTTAAGAAATTATTAGAATTGTTATTACTCTCGCGCTAAACAACTGCCTCAACTTTGAGAATGTTGTTGGCTGAAGCGATGGGCTTTCCTGACTCAAGTCGAATTCCAAGTGATACAACTTTCATGGAATTAGGCTCCCACTCTCTTGTTTGTATTTATTATATTACAGGCCCCTAAATCTGATCTTGATAATGTAGAAACGAAGAATGGAAATTGCTGTTCAAAGTTGTATTATAGTTGGAGGATTGGATATTTTGATCCCAGCACGAACTTTCGCAAAGGCAACAAAACAATTAAATAGAAAAAGTTTAATTATTAGGCTAAAAAGTTGACTCCAGGAGATCAATTGTCGTTTGTTAGTGGGAAATTATTAGGAAGCGCATTCATTTTAAATATATTTTTCTGCAACTAGTCGGTAGTAAGGGTTTTATAAGTTATTTTATTTTGTCGAATCGTCGAATATTACTCTTGAAGTCTTTTAATGTATATTTGCTCGATGTTAAGAAATTATTAGAATTGTTATTACTCTCGCGCTAAACAACTGCCTTAACTTTGAGAATGTTGTTGGCTGAAGCGATGGGCTTTCCAGAATCAAGTCGAATTCCAAGTGATACAACTTTCATGGAATTAGGCGCCCACTCTCTTGTTTGTATTTATTATATTACAGGCCCCCTAAATCTGATCTTGATAATGTAGAAACGAAGAATGGAAATTGCTGTTCAAAGTTGTATTATAGTTGGAGGATTGGATATTTTGATCCCAGCACGAACTTTCGCAAAGGCAACAAAACAATTAAATAGAAAAAGTTTAATTATTAGGCTAAAAAGTTGACTCCAGGAGATCAATTGTCGTTTGTTAGTGGGAAATTATTTGGAAGCGCATTCATTTTTAATATATTTTTCTGCAACTAGTCGGTAGTAAGGGTTTTATAAGTTATTTTATTTTGTCGAATCGTCGAATATTACTCTTGAAGTCTTTTAATGTATATTTGCTCGATGTTAAGAAATTATTAGAATTGTTATTACTCTCGCGCTAAACAACTGCCTTAACTTTGAGAATGTTGTTGGCTGAAGCGATGGGCTTTCCAGAATCAAGTCGAATTCCAAGTGATACAACTTTCATGGAATTAGGCGCCCACTCTCTTGTTTGTATTTATTATATTACAGGCCCCCTAAATCTGATCTTGATAATGTAGAAACGAAGAATGGAAATTGCTGTTCAAAGTTGTATTATAGTTGGAGGATTGGATATTTTGATCCCAGCACGAACTTTCGCAAAGGCAACAAAACAATTAAATAGAAAAAGTTTAATTATTAGGCTAAAAAGTTGACTCCAGGAGATCAATTGTCGTTTGTTAGTGGGAAATTATTTGGAAGCGCATTCATTTTTAATATATTTTTCTGCAACTAGTCGGTAGTAAGGGTTTTATAAGTTATTTTATTTTGTCGAATCGTCGAATATTACTCTTGAAGTCTTTTAATGTATATTTGCTCGATGTTAAGAAATTATTAGAATTGTTATTACTCTCGCGCTAAACAACTGCCTCAACTTTGAGAATGTTGTTGGCTGAAGCGATGGGCTTTCCAGAATCAAGTCGAATTCCAAGTGATACAACTTTCATGGAATTAGGCGCTCACTCTCTTGTTTGTATTTATGATATTACAGTCCCCCCAAATCTGATCTTGATAATATAGAAACGAAGAATGGAAATTGCTGTTCAAATTTGTATTATAGTTGGAGGATTGGATGTTTTGATCCCAGCACGAACTTTCGCTAAGGCAACAAAACAATTAAATAGAAATAGTTTAATTATTAGGCTAAAAAGTTGACTCCAGGAGATCAATTGTCGTTTGTTAGTGGGAAATTATTTGGAAGCGCATTCATTTTTAATATATTTTTCTTTATCTAGTTGGTAGTAAGGGTTTTATCAGTTATTTTATTTTGTCGAATCGTCGAATATTACTCTTGAAGTCTTTTAATGTATATTTGCTCGATGTTAAGAAATTATTAGAATTGTTATTACTCTCGCGATAAACAACTGCCTCAACTTTGAGAATGTTGTTGGCTGAAGCGATGGGCTTTCCAGAATCAAGTCGAATTCCAAGTGATACAACTTTCATGGAATTAGGCGCTCACTCTCTTGTTTGTATTTATGATATTACAGTCCCCCCAAATCTGATCTTGATAATATAGAAACGAAGAATGGAAATTGCTGTTCAAATTTGTATTATAGTTGGAGGATTGGATGTTTTGATCCCAGCACGAATTTTCGCTAAGGCAACAAAACAATTAAATAGAAATAGTTTAATTATTAGGCTAAAAAGTTGACTCCAGGAGATCAATTGTCGTTTGTTAGTGGGAAATTATTTGGAAGCGCATTCATTTTTAATATATTTTTCTTTAACTAGTCGGTAGTAAGGGTTTTATAAGTTATTTTTTTTTTTCGAATCGTCGAATATTACTCTTTACGTCTTTTGGTGTATATTTGCTCGATGTTAAGACATTACTGGTCAGGAATTGTTATTACTCTCGCCGCGCTAAACAAACCAGCGTCAGAAAAATATCGTGGATTTCATTGAGGATTCAAGTTTTATAATTTGTTGGGGCAGAACGATATCTTAGAATGTAGATTGACTGCATAATGGGAGATCAATCTTCGAGGCCTAGACTGTGATCATCTTGGTGCAAGTTTGGCTATTTTTTTTTGCAGTAAAATCTGGGCACTAGTAACAATGTAATAATATTGTAACGAAGCTTGGCGGTCTAAAGAGTTATAATTGGAATAGCTTCAACTCACGGGACAGAATTTAATCGGAAGGAAAGAACGGACCAGTGATGGGGGTAACAGCAACAATAAACAGATGAAATAAAGATGGAAGATGGACACGAAATAATACCGTCTTGGCACTCTCTGATCTTTAATTATTCTTGTCAAAACACAATCATTCGTGTACAATTTCTACTCACACTATGTCGTCCACAGTAGTAGCCCGTGCAAAAATTCAGACCTTGTTCCTTGAATCCCAGCTCTAGACTGACATGACTGTACTAAACCCCGCGCGCGCTTTGCGCGCCGCGCGCCCAGAATTAACACAGTGTATATAATTTGCCCTAGAAAATAGATAGGTCGCGAGCTGTTGTCTGACTGTTACTACGCGCAGCGCCTCCAGTCGTCCTAGTACATTACAATAATAAAGTCACAAGGACAAAATTCAAGTGCTGCTTCTCATAATATTTGCAATAGATCTTATTGACAAGGACGCCGTTTTAGATCGTTTGGAGTGCAAGTGAAGCCTCACTTTCAATTTTTATTTAATGTGGCTTACAACATAAATTATTCATCACAAATTGACAATAGTCTATTGTCTTCCAAAGATTGTCTGTGTCTGTACAGTAGCATTAATGTGATATTTACCCTGACCCATTGAGTGATTTATAGGAATCGTCCTTACTCTGATTATGGTGGTATGCCTAACCCCTTGTAAAGCACAATCAGTAAATCGTGCAGTACTCACTCCTACAGATTCCAACAAAACATGCATTTGGATTTTGAAGGGTTGGGGTGGTTTGGGGTAAAAGAACTATGGACAGCCGCATCGTGAAACAAAGTTTAAATGATGAGAGGAGGTTAAATTCTTTTTTTTTTAAGGCAGCTCTCTCTCTAATTTGCTATAAAACTTCTTGCAGAATAAAACAATCTTCATGATTATTCTTTCACATAATATTTTTTTAAGATTATGATATTGTTGCATAATAAAGACTGTTCTCAATAGATTTGCAATACCTAATATGTCAAACGCGGCCACTGCATTCTTTAACAATCCAAAAAATTAATATTTTGTATTTTTTCTATGAATTTTATGAATTTTATGGTCAGGATACCTCTCCTGCTTTAATTGTGTATATACGAAAGATACCAAAGAGACAATAATAACGTTAATAGCTAACGAACAATAATTAAGCCCCCCCCCCCCCTTGGGCCGACGGAAGCCTCCGCGGCCTCATGGCGGTACGTGATTAATTTATGGTTCCAGACCAGTAAGTAAACTTCCATAGAGAAATTTCCATCCGAAGATGACCACCCCTGAAAATAGTCCTGAAGACCATCGCCATTTTGAAAAACGATGCCTACACTCCATTGCAAAATAGAGCGCTTTAAGGGCCAAAATTTCATCCAAATTGAACGGAACTACAAGCTCACAGTCCTGTGCACGGCTTCCACCCATATTTTTTTTTAAACTCTCAAGTTCATGGCCCACAGCATCCTCAAATACTGAAGATCGTGACTTGGCCGGCGTAGGCAATCAGTCGGACCGATTTACTGGTCTGTAACCTTTATACATCGCGCAGGGCCTAATATTTTATCCCAGCATACATCACTCATAACATGGCCGCTCCATGAACGTACGTCCGTATGTACTATGTGGACTTGTATCGATGCGAAATAAGCACTAACCAAGGGGACATCCGAATTGAGCCAAGTCCAGCTGCCTACATGCTGGACGTGAATGGATCAATGGTCAACCGTTGGTCAGCCACAGGGCGCTAGCCTTTATTCGAGCCTTGTTTGGTTGTTCCATTCACATAGTGACCGTGCAGGCTGTGGATATTAACGTGCAAAGAACAGGTAATTAAACTTCACTGAACTAATACACGGCTATTGAATTTAAAAAAAAAATCTTTCCAACGGCTTATTTTGTTGGTTAACCTTGAATTCAATGCAATGACGTCAACAAGTAGCCTCGATCTAATTGTTTATTTATTTATTTATTTCACATTTACTACATTTCTTAACCCAGGGCACGCATACTGAGTGCCAATTCAAACCGTTTAAAACTGGTTTTCACTGAGTTGGCCCTGCATATACATACAAATACAATACAATGCAAATACAATTCAATAGAAGGGTTTGCCTTACATACTATACACTGTATACTCAGTGTGTTACCCCGGACATGCCCGAGTAAACGTAAACAAAATCATACGGGTGGACACCGGTAAATAGGCCTAAATCCATCCGCCGAGCTCATGAATAAAAGTTATACCCTCAAAATATTCTATTTTAGAGAGTTCTAGTTCTAAGCGCCGTAAATTTGGGCAATTGAAGAGATATGGTAATGAACCTCTGGCCCGTACTTGTGGCTTCCAATTCTGAGCATTTTGGATGCTATTGGGCTCGAAAGTGGCGCTATTTTGCCATGTTGTGGAGGGATCGTTTTTCTCCGCTTTGGGGAAAAAGGGGTCGTCTTCTTTGGGTGAGAATATCTCGAAAAGTCAATGGTCAACCTACCAAAAAATGAAAAGAAAACGAAAGATGACATGTTGATCTTCATTTTTCTGTGCAGCGTGATCAGAGTTCTGAGTATTTTTAAAAGAACTTTGAAGTATTGACATTTATCACTAGTGTCTATGGGAATTTATTTGTAGGGTTGCATCCATACGGGTGGGACCTTATATTAAATTAACATCACCCGATGCTAAAATTCCATTTTATGAACAATACAAATACAACTACACAATACATTACTAATACAAAACAATAACACAGCGGCGTAGCCAACGTTTTCACCATGGGGGCGCGAGTGGGGGAGGCGGGTTTTTTTTTGGGGGGGGGGGCTAGTGGTGGAGGCGAGTAGGGTGGGAGCGAGTGGGGGGGGGGGGGAGTTGGGGAGGGGCGAGTGGGGTAGGAGCCAAACTTTTATAGCATCCGTGCTGAAAGATAGGAGACAGGTATTTTTTTAAAACCTGTACAGAGGCTTATTACAAATACATTACAACAAAATAAAAACACATGGAAGGAATACATAACTGTTCAAACAATTATCGTCAAACTATTACAATTAATTTCGCCGAACAGGCTTTACTAACTAATGTGATTTATATTTTGTGCAATCAAAAAAAGAAAGAAAGAAGGCTCAAGATTGGCTGATTACAGGAGGGGCGAAGCCCTTTTGGGAGAAAACCTAGCGGGGTTATCTGGATCCCTATTTCTATGACTCCTAATTATTTAGGTGAGCATTTAAAGATAAAATAAGCGGAAATTGACCTTCATTTGCATTCTAGAAAGAGGCAAACTCTGACGGATATACCAGTTGAGTCCACACAGTGACGTCACGGTGTTCGAGGACTTGAACTCATCGGGAATTAAGTCAGCCTTGTGTTATCGTCATTGAAGCATCTGCCATTTTGGGACGTTGGATAAAGAGAAAAATCATCGGTAATTAAGGAAATTTCACCTGCTGTTAACGTTGATCAAGGGCGGATCGGGGGGGGAGGGCAAAAGGGGGCCATTTTTTTTTTAAATAGTGACCTCGCAATAAATGCAGGCAAGGAGTACACCACCATCTTTTCCTTAAAAAAACATTGGTTAAAGTGGTCAGAAATTGCCTCAGATCGCACCACAGAGCATCTAGAATGCAAACAACTTCCGGGGCCCTTAAGCGAGCCCCGAACCCCACGCCGTAATTTTTTTTGACACACTTTTTATTGACCAAAATTGTTTTTGGCCCCCTAAAATTGTGTTCTGGATCCGCCCTTGACGTTGACGAAATACCCACTTCAGTCACGATTTCCTTAGGCCTACTGGTCATTGTAATTGTAATTTGGGGTCCACTTTTTTAATTCCCTGTCCCTGTTACATCTGATATTTTTGTCATTTAATTCTGTATCAACGCCTTAATGCAGTCATCCTCCAAGAGTGATTAAGAATAACAGCAACGTACCAAAACAACAAATAAACAAACATATTAAAGTTATTCTGAAAGGGGCATACAAAGTATTTTTTTTAGTATGCAAATGCACCTTTGCATCCCATTTAACATTATTTTCAATTTCCGTTTTGCCATTTCAAAGTACTTTTTGATGGCCTTTTGGTTTTTAATGTGAATTTGTAAATTCATGAGCAAAACTGCGATGTCATATCAGGCAGAGGCCACAATGATACAGCTGATAACTATCAGCACAAAAAGTTGCCAGAATTTGTGATATTGAGCTGTTACAAATATTCTTTTCTTTGGTGATTCTTTGTTGTGTCATTGTAGTAAGCCAAAGAGCCCCCTTAATGTTTATCAATGAGCAAATTTGGGGTTCACGATTTGAACAGAAAACACCGAAACTGATGAACAGTGTCTTCCTGAAATGACATCGCTGCACTTGAACAGCGACCTCAGTAGTCAAAAAGCATGAGAAATTGAAAATGTTCAAAGTAGGGCACCTTTCAATAAAATTCACCAAAAAGGGATGACAAATAGGTTTCATGCATTTAAGAGGGGTACAAAGTTGCACAAATGAGTTCCGCAGAAAAAATCATCGCATGATACCCATCGCAAGATACTTGTCAAGAGGTTCCAGGGACATGTTAGACCCTAAATTTGTAGTATGACCCTCAGTAAATTGACTAATTTCTCATATTTGATGAACTAACGAAGAATTTAAATTAGTATAGGGAAAGAGGATAATTCTGTCTTATTTGAGATGAATAGTGATCGACCAGACGAACGATCTGAAGTGATAAAGTACCCTGTAAACTTAAAAGATGACAAATTTGGAGTGAAAAAAACCTAAGATTGAGTAAATTTCACTGTAAAGTCTTTAAAATGTTGACTGATTGGATTAGTGTAGCAAAACTAGCATCGAGCTCTCGAGGTGATCCAGATTCAAAATCTGTGGGTGAGGTGGCCCGTGGAAGTATATAATCACTCTGTGGGAATAACTGAGTATTACTTCTTTAAATGAACCTATACATTCAGCCCACCTGCCGTTCCTGGAAATACGAAGTTGGTGACGGAGCTGAATATCAGCAAACAAGGCTGCGTGGCTCACAACTGACGGCCTCAGCCTGAAGGGGAAATCACTGTCCACAAAACATTCACTGTAATTGAGGTATGATCTCCTTGTTATAATTTATCTGTAATGTATTGTGCATGACCGGAACTGTTTATGGAACTATACAACTGGTACGCGCGCATTAATAACCAAGTACATAACGTGTATAAGTGATGACGTCATGCCATGTGACTGCATCATACAATACCTTTCCAATATGACAGCTTCCAGTGTCACTGTTGACATTATTTTCCCCAAATAAACCAGGCGAATGCACAGCAATTTCCGTTCGCACAAAAATACGTTTTATTGACCCAACTTTTGGGATACAAAAATGATATCACGTTTATTGAAACAAAATTATTAGGTAACTTAAGTTCAATCTTAAAATTCAAGATTGGTTTGACTGGCTAGTTACAAATAGTCGCGTTACTGTTCATTTTATCTTTACATCCTGGTCTCTCTAGATCCTGTACCATCCAGCAAGAAGTGACAGGAGACCAAAGACTAAAGAAGACTGACGACATAGTGGATAAGATCGAGGTTCTGTAACAAACTAGCTTGTAAATTGTAATTTTAGTGTGGATTGCATTATAACAGTGCAGCGTATTTGTTTGTTGCCTTTATTCCCCGGTTGTACTAAATTGATTCCAAATCATGGATGTATCCCAAGTCCCAGAAAAGAAAGCAAACACTCTGAAAGAAGAACATCAGCAGTCTGAAGGTGGTTGGCATGGTCTCTCCTCAGCGCAAAAGAGAATGGTCATGATGCAGCAAGCAGCCCCCGAATCAACCGCTTATGTTGAAACGATTGCGGTTCGCACCACCAACCAAATAGAACCACGTGATGTTTTCAAGTCTCTTACCTCACTGCATCCCATACTAACCTCCAAAATAGACATGGATGGAGAAAGACAGGAGTTTGTTGTTCCTTTGGGTAGCAATGTGGCCTTCGACGTCAAGCCTGAAGTCTTAGATGCTGACAATGATGTTGAGGATTACATCAAGCAGTCAACACCAGTGATGGATATTTTTCACGAGCCTCTCGTTCAGTATCGGTACTGCATTCAGGGAGAAAACCACATCCTTGTACTTCATATTCATCATTTGATTGTCGACATCGTAACAATTATCAACATATGGAAAGATATCCACGGTCTGATAGAGGGCGCCTCCAACGTTAAAGGAGCTCCAGTATCAGCTACTTCCTATTCATCATTTGTAGCTTGGGAGAGCACCGAACGACAATCAGCACGACACGGAGCTGACCAAGATTTTTGGAAAGAGACTTTCTCAAGCATGCCAACTCGGGCAAGTTTGGCTGTTCTTCCCTTGAGCGAGTGTGAATGGAGTGACGCAAGTGTCTACAAGGCGAGGCAGGCCAAAATCATCCTCCCAAGGGAGTCGACGGAATCGATCAGCAAGTACTGCCAGTCGATTGGCGTGACGCCATTCAAGTACTATCTGGCTTGCACCATGCTGGTTTACCAGCGATACATCGGGACTGAAGACGTTACTCTTGCAGTTCCGATTTCAACAAGACCTCAGGCGCACCAAAACACCGATGGTCTCTTTGTAAATACAGTTTTGTTTCGAAAAGTCCTGCGAACCGACATGACCTTCACAGATTACGTAAAAGATGTTGCCAAAAGCTGGATGGAGACGTACAGTCACTCTCAGTATCCTCTTGAAGAGGTTGTTAAAATCGTAAAAGAGGCGCATGGAATGAGTATGTCATCATTCTGTTGCATGATGTTAGGTAGCTACACCATGCAGACATCTAATGTGATGCGTATACCTGCAAAGCACGCCAAGATGCCTGTAGAATTTGACGTCATTTTCAAGAGGGGAGAAGAGACAATCGAAATCGTTGTAAATTGGGCAGAAGAATTCATTGATGCAGGTGTAGCTCAGAGATTGGCTGAAGGTGTGGTTCATACGTTCTGTAAAGCCTATCAACAAGCAGACGATATCACGCAGAGCATTCAAGTCTTATCTTCTGCAGAGCTGGACCTTCTTGAGTCGTTCGGTCGTCATCCTGGGGAAAGTCAAACAATCCCTGAACAACCAGTTCACGTGGCATTTGAAGACCACGCTGTCAAGAATCCAGAGTTGATCGCAGTTTCTTGTAGAGATGTTTCTCTTACATACAAGCAGCTAAATATCATGGCCTCCAGCATTGCTCAGGGTCTCCTTGAAAACACCGACCAAGTTACACTTCAAAAGAGACCGGTTGTCATCGTCATGCAGAAGGATGAATACACAGTGGCATCGGTGCTTGGAATCTGGAAAGTCGGTAGTCACTTCTTACCTGTTGGAGTTAGTAATCAGAATTCATTGAAGGGGATCTTTGAGAGGTGTGAGCCAGCCGCCGTGCTCTATAACACTAGACTCAAGGACTTATCAATCCCCACCACGAAGCAATGTCCTGTCCTCAACGTCAAGGATCTCATCACGTGTCCTGCAGATGATATGGTTCAAAGCAGATTGGTTGGGAACACACCTGTAGACAACTTGGCATATGTAATCAGGACCTCAGGATCGACAGGAATTCCCAAACAATGCAGCATTTCTCACAGGAGCCTTGGTATTATAGCTGCAGCCTCTACAAAGATGTACAACTTACCTGACATGACGGTGAACTGTCTCCAGTGGGCACCCATCTCATTTGGCGTCTTCATAGCGGATTTGGTCAGAGCCCTAGTATCTTCTCCTGGCCGATTGACTATCTGTCCAGATGAATTCCGGTTGGATGTCTTCCACATACTGGATCTCATCCACGAGCAGAATGTCACTTTGGCAGAGTTCACACCCCAGTTTGCTCGACAGCTTGTGGAGAATGCCAAGCTCGATCAGCTGGAATCCATCCAACTCTTAATCCTTGGATCTGATGTACTCCAAGTACACGTCTACAGCAGAATCAAGGATCTTTTGAATCCAAATCAAAGAGTTCTAAATAGTTTTGGGATGACAGAGGCTACCTTTGACTCGTCTTTCTTTGAAGGACCAGTTGTGTCAAGGACCAGGAGTGGAATGGTGCCGATTGGGAAACCATTTCCTGGAGTTCGATTCCATGTCTTGAATCCCTCAACCTTACAACCATGCCCTGTTGGTACAGTCGGTGAACTGTACATCAGTGGTGATGTCTTGGCATCTGGGGATGCAGAGCTAGTTCACTTGGAGCATCTCCAATGTGTGGCACTGAAGACAGGTGATGCAGCTTACTGGCTGCCAACTGGAGACATGGATCTGATGGGTAGACTGAATAGCATGGTCAAACTAAGAGGGTTCAGGATTAGCACTAAAGAGATAGAAAACAAGATACTGCAACTTGTTCCTGGAGTAAAGGCCGCCTGTGTTGTTCCTATGACTAACAGTGAAGAGTCTGGCAGCACTGATCAGTCTTTGTGTGCCTTTGTAGTGCTTGATGAGAGCAGCCAAACTGGTGGTATCGAGATAGATCGCAGATCTGTTTGCCAAAAGCTACAAAGTGACCTCCCGAATTACATGCTGCCTAATATTGTCAGCATCATAGACGAAGTGCCGCTAACTCTGAACGGAAAGGTAAACTACAAAATACTTCGGAGTATCAATGATGTTGTCAAGATGGAGACTGAGAAGGAGACCACGGATAACACGGTGGAAACTAAAACTGCCTCAACTTTGAGAATGTTGTTGGCTGAAGCGATGGGCTTTCCAGACTCAAGTCGAATTCCAAGTGATACAACTTTCATGGAATTAGGCGCTCACTCTCTCGTCCTGGTACGATTCTCGGTGCTTCTGAGACGAAAAACAAACTTTGATGTCAAGTTAACGGATCTAAGTGATTATACATCCATACGATCTCTCGCTGATTTCATTGAACAGCAAACACGATAATTATAGACGTGCAGCGCAGACGTACCCCCTCAACGGTGGACATGAGTTCTGGCGAAGATACATGACCGCATAGAACATTCAAATTCGATACTGTGACATGCGACAATAGTGTGTTTCGGTCTCTTCAAATAAACAAATATTTGTTTGTATTTATGATATTACAGTCCCCCAAATCTGATCTTGATAATATAGAAACGAAGAATGGAAATTGCTGTTCAAATTTGTATTATAGTTGGAGGATTGGATGTTTTGATCCCAGCACGAATTTTCGCTAAGGCAACAAAACAATTAAATAGAAATAGTTTAATTATTAGGCTAAAAAGTTGACTCCAGGAGATCAATTGTCGTTTGTTAGTGGGAAATTATTTGGAAGCGCATTCATTTTTAATATATTTTTCTTTATCTAGTTGGTAGTAAGGGTTTTATCAGTTATTTTATTTTGTCGAATCGTCGAATATTACTCTTGAAGTCTTTTAATGTATATTTGCTCGATGTTAAGAAATTATTAGAATTGTTATTACTCTCGCGCTAAACAACTGCCTCAACTTTGAGAATGTTGTTGGCTGAAGCGATGGGCTTTCCTGACTCAAGTCGAATTCCAAGTGATACAACTTTCATGGAATTAGGCGCCCACTCTCTTGTTTGTATTTATGATATTACAGGCCCCCTAAATCTGATCTTGATAATGTAGAAACGAAGAATGGAAATTGCTGTTCAAAGTTGTATTATAGTTGGAGGATTGGATATTTTGATCCCAGCACGAACTTTCGCAAAGGCAACAAAACAATTAAATAGAAAAAGTTTAATTATTAGGCTAAAAAGTTGACTCCAGGAGATCAATTGTCGTTTGTTAGTGGGAAATTATTTGGAAGCGCATTCATTTTTAATATATTTTTCTGCAACTAGTCGGTAGTAAGGGTTTTATAAGTTATTTTATTTTGTCGAATCGTCGAATATTACTCTTGAAGTCTTTTAATGTATATTTGCCCGATGTTAAGAAATTATTAGAATTGTTATTACTCTCGCGCTAAACAACTGCCTCAACTTTGAGAATGTTGTTGGCTGAAGCGATGGGCTTTCCAGAATCAAGTCGAATTCCAAGTGATACAACTTTCATGGAATTAGGCGCTCACTCTCTTGTTTGTATTTATGATATTACAGTCCCACAAATCTGATCTTGATAATATAGAAACGAAGAATGGAAATTGCTGTTCAAATTTGTATTATAGTTGGAGGATTGGATGTTTTGATCCCAGCACGAATTTTCGCTAAGGCAACAAAACAATTAAATAGAAATAGTTTAATTATTAGGCTAAAAAGTTGACTCCAGGAGATCAATTGTCGTTTGTTAGTGGGAAATTATTTGGAAGCGCATTCATTTTTAATATATTTTTCTTTATCTAGTTGGTAGTAAGGGTTTTATCAGTTATTTTATTTTGTCGAATCGTCGAATATTACTCTTGAAGTCTTTTAATGTATATTTGCTCGATGTTAAGAAATTATTAGAATTGTTATTACTCTCGCGCTAAACAACTGCCTCAACTTTGAGAATGTTGTTGGCTGAAGCGATGGGCTTTCCTGACTCAAGTCGAATTCCAAGTGATACAACTTTCATGGAATTAGGCGCCCACTCTCTTGTTTGTATTTATGATATTACAGGCCCCCTAAATCTGATCTTGATAATGTAGAAACGAAGAATGGAAATTGCTGTTCAAAGTTGTATTATAGTTGGAGGATTGGATATTTTGATCCCAGCACGAACTTTCGCAAAGGCAACAAAACAATTAAATAGAAAAAGTTTAATTATTAGGCTAAAAAGTTGACTCCAGGAGATCAATTGTCGTTTGTTAGTGGGAAATTATTTGGAAGCGCATTCATTTTTAATATATTTTTCTGCAACTAGTCGGTAGTAAGGGTTTTATAAGTTATTTTATTTTGTCGAATCGTCGAATATTACTCTTGAAGTCTTTTAATGTATATTTGCTCGATGTTAAGAAATTATTAGAATTGTTATTACTCTCGCGCTAAACAACTGCCTCAACTTTGAGAATGTTGTTGGCTGAAGCGATGGGCTTTCCAGAATCAAGTCGAATTCCAAGTGATACAACTTTCATGGAATTAGGCGCCCACTCTCTTGTTTGTATTTATGATATTACAGGCCCCCTAAATCTGATCTTGATAATGTAGAAACGAAGAATGGAAATTGCTGTTCAAAGTTGTATTATAGTTGGAGGATTGGATATTTTGATCCCAGCACGAACTTTCGCAAAGGCAACAAAACAATTAAATAGAAAAAGTTTAATTATTAGGCTAAAAAGTTGACTCCAGGAGATCAATTGTCGTTTGTTAGTGGGAAATTATTTGGAAGTGCATTCATTTTTAATATATTTTTCTGCAACTAGTCGGTAGTAAGGGTTTTATAAGTTATTTTATTTTGTCGAATCGTCGAATATTACTCTTGAAGTCTTTTAATGTATATTTGCTCGATGTTAAGAAATTATTAGAATTGTTATTACTCTCGCGCTAAACAACTGCCTCAACTTTGAGAATGTTGTTGGCTGAAGCGATGGGCTTTCCAGAATCAAGTCGAATTCCAAGTGATACAACTTTCATGGAATTAGGCGCTCACTCTCTTGTTTGTATTTATGATATTACAGTCCCCCCAAATCTGATCTTGATAATATAGAAACGAAGAATGGAAATTGCTGTTCAAATTTGTATTATAGTTGGAGGATTGGATGTTTTGATCCCAGCACGAATTTTCGCTAAGGCAACAAAACAATTAAATAGAAATAGTTTAATTATTAGGCTAAAAAGTTGACTCCAGGAGATCAATTGTCGTTTGTTAGTGGGAAATTATTTGGAAGCGCATTCATTTTTAATATATTTTTCTTTATCTAGTTGGTAGTAAGGGTTTTATCAGTAATTTTATTTTGTCGAATCGTCGAATATTACTCTTGAAGTCTTTTAATGTATATTTGCTCGATGTTAAGAAATTATTAGAATTGTTATTACTCTCGCGATAAACAACTGCCTCAACTTTGAGAATGTTGTTGGCTGAAGCGATGGGCTTTCCAGAATCAAGTCGAATTCCAAGTGATACAACTTTCATGGAATTAGGCGCTCACTCTCTTGTTTGTATTTATGATATTACAGTCCCCCCAAATCTGATCTTGATAATATAGAAACGAAGAATGGAAATTGCTGTTCAAATTTGTATTATAGTTGGAGGATTGGATGTTTTGATCCCAGCACGAATTTTCGCTAAGGCAACAAAACAATTAAATAGAAATAGTTTAATTATTAGGCTAAAAAGTTGACTCCAGGAGATCAATTGTCGTTTGTTAGTGGGAAATTATTTGGAAGCGCATTCATTTTTAATATATTTTTCTTTAACTAGTCGGTAGTAAGGGTTTTATAAGTTATTTTTTTTTTTCGAATCGTCGAATATTACTCTTTACGTCTTTTGGTGTATATTTGCTCGATGTTAAGACATTACTGGTCAGGAATTGTTATTACTCTCGCCGCGCTAAACAAACCAGCGTCAGAAAAATATCGTGGATTTCATTGAGGATTCAAGTTTTATAATTTGTTGGGGCAGAACGATATCTTAGAATGTAGATTGACTGCATAATGGGAGATCAATCTTCGAGGCCTAGACTGTGATCATCTTGGTCCAAGTTTGGCTATTTTTTTTTGCAGTAAAATCTGGGCACTAGTAACAATGTAATAATATTGTAACAAAGCTTGGCGGTCTAAAGAGTTATAATTGGAATAGCTTCAACTCACGGGACAGAATTTAATCGGAAGGAAAGAACGGACCAGTGATGGGGGTAACAGCAACAATAAACAGATGAAATAAAGATGGAAGATGGACACGAAATAATACCGTCTTGGCACTCTCTGATCTTTAATTATTCTTGTCAAAACACAATCATTCGTGTACAATTTCTACTCACACTATGTCGTCCACAGTAGTAGCCCGTGCAAAAATTCAGACCTTGTTCCTTGAATCCCAGCTCTAGACTGACATGACTGTACTAAACCCCGCGCGCGCTTTGCGCGCCGCGCGCCCAGAATTAACACAGTGTATATAATTTGCCCTAGAAAATAGATAGGTCGCGAGCTGTTGTCTGACTGTTACTACGCGCAGCGCCTCCAGTCGTCCTAGTACATTACAATAATAAAGTCACAAGGACAAAATTCAAGTGCTGCTTCTCATAATATTTGCAATAGATCTTATTGACAAGGACGCCGTTTTCAATCGTTTGGAGTGCAAGTGAAGCCTCACTTTCAATTTTTATTTAATGTGGCTTACAACATAAATTATTCATCACAAATTGACAATAGTCTATTGTCTTCCAAAGATTGTCTGTGTCTGTACAGTAGCATTAATGTGATATTTACCCTGACCCATTGAGTGATTTATAGGAATCGTCCTTACTCTGATTATGGTGGTATGCCTAACCCCTTGTAAAGCACAATCAGTAAATCGTGCAGTACTCACTCCTACAGATTCCAACAAAACATGCATTTGGATTTTGAAGGGTTGGGGTGGTTTGGGGTAAAAGAACTATGGACAGCCGCATCGTGAAACAAAGTTTAAATGATGAGAGGAGGTTAAATTCTTTTTTTTTTAAGGCAGCTCTCTCTCTCTAATTTGCTATAAAACTTCTTGCAGAATAAAACAATCTTCATGATTATTCTTTCACATAATATTTTTTTAAGATTATGATATTGTTGCATAATAAAGACTGTTCTCAATAGATTTGCAATACCTAATATGTCAAACGCGGCCACTGCATTCTTTAACAATCCAAAAAATTAATATTTTGTATTTTTTCTATGAATTTTATGAATTTTATGGTCAGGATACCTCTCCTGCTTTAATTGTGTATATACGAAAAATACCAAAGAGACAATAATAACGTTAATAGCTAACGCACAATAATTAAGCCCCCCCCCCCCCTTGGGCCGACGGAAGCCTCCGCGGCCTCATGGCGGTACGTGATGAATTGATGGTTCCAGACCAGTAAATAAACTTCCATAGACCCCAATGGTAAATGCTCCCACTTCAGAAATTCGGGAAAAAATACTCACAACTCAGTCTCCAAGGTGCTCGAGATACACATCAAATTAAAGCTTATTTCATCATCTTTCATTTTCTTTTCAATTTTTGGGGGTCAACTAATGACTTTTAGGAGAAATTTCCATCCGAAGATGACCACCCCTGAAAATAGTCCTGAAGACCATCGCCATTTTGAAAAACGATGCCTACACTCCATTGCAAAATAGAGCGCTTTAAGGGCCAACATTTCATCCAAATTGAACGGGACTACAAGCTCACAGTCCTGTGCACGGCTTCCACCCATATTTTTTTTTTTTTAACTCTCAAGTTCATGGCCCACAGCATCCTCAAATACTGAAGATCGTGACTTGGCCGGCGTAGGCAATCAGTCGGACCGATTTACTGGTCTGTAACCTTTATACATCGCGCAGGGCCTAATATTGTATCCCAGCATACATCACTCATAACATGGCTGCTCCATGAACGTACGTCCGTATGTACTATGTGGACTTGTATCGATGCGAAATAAGCACTAACCAAGGGGACATCCGACTTGAGCCAAGTCCAGCTGCCTACATGCTGGACGTGAATGGATCAATGGTCAACCGTTGGTCAGCCACAGGGCGCTAGCCTTTATTCGAGCCTTGTTTGGCTGTTCCATTCACATATCACCGTGCAGGCTGTGGATATTAACGTGCAAAGAACAGGTAATTAAACTTCACTGAACTAATACACGGCTATTGAATTAAAAAAAAAATCTTTCCAACGGCTTATTTTGTTGGTTAACCTTGAATTCAATGCAATGACGTCAACAAGTAGCCTCGATCTAATTGTTTATTTATTTATTTATTTCAGATTTACTACATTTCTTAACCCAGGGCACGCATACTGAGTGCCGATTCAAACCGTTTAAAACTGGTTTTCACTGAGTTGGCCCTGCATATACATACAAATACAATACAATGCAAATACAATTCAATAGAAGGGTTTGCCCTACATATTATACACTGTATACTCAGTGTGTTACCCCGGACATGCCCGAGTAAACGTAAACAAAATCATACGGGTGGACACCGGTAAATAGGCCTAAATCCATCCGCCGAGCTCATGAATAAAAGTTATACCCTCAAAATATTCTATTAAAGAGAGTTCTAGTTCTAAGCGCCGTAAATTTGGGCAATTGAAGAGATATGGTAATGAACCTCTGGCCCGTACTTGTGGCTTCCAATTCTGAGCATTTTGGATGCTATTGGGCTCGAAAGTGGCGCTATTTTGCCATGTTGTGGAGGGATCGTTTTTCTCCGCTTTGGGGAAAAAAGGGGTTGTCTTCTTTGGGTGAGAATATCTCGAAAAGTCAATGGTCAACCTACCAAAAAATGAAAAGAAAACGAAAGATGACATGTTGATCTTCATTTTTCTGTGCAGCGTGATCAGAGTTCTGAGTATTTTTTAAAGAACTTTGAAGTATTGACATTTATCAATAGTGTCTATGGGAATTCATTTGTAGGGTTGCATCCATACGGGAGGGACCTTATATTAAATTAACATCACCCGATGCTAAAATTCAATTTTATGAACAATACAAATACAACTTCACAATACATTACTAATACAAAACAATAACACAGCGGCGTAGCCAACGTTTTCACCATGGGGGCGCGAGTGGGGGAGGCGGGTTTTTTTTTTTGGGGGGGGGCTAGTGGTGGAGGCGAGTAGGGTGGGAGCGAGTGGGGGGGGGGGGGAGTTGGGGAGGGGCGAGTGGGGTAGGAGCCAAACTTTTATAGCATCCGTGCTGAAAGATAGGAGACAGGTATTTTTTTTAAACCTGTACAGAGGCTTATTACAAATACATTACAACAAAATAAAAACACATGGAAGGAATACATAACTGTTCAAACAATTATCGTCAAACTATTACAATTAATTTCGCCGAACAGGCTTTACTAACTAATGTGATTTATATTTTGTGCAATCATAAAAAGAAAGAAAGAAGGCTCAAGATTGGCTGATTACAGGAGGGGCGAAGCCCTTTTGGGAGAAAACCTAGCGGGGTTATCTGGATCCCTATTTATATGACTCCTAATTATTTAGGTGAGCATTTAAAGATAAAATAAGCGGAAATTGACCTTCATTTACATTCTAGAAAGGAGCAAACTCTGACGGATATACCAGTTGAGTCCACACAGTGACGTCACGGTGTTCGAGGACTTGAACTCATCGGGAATTAAGTCAGCCTTGTGTTATCGTCATTGAAGCATCTGCCATTTTGGGACGTTGGATAAAGAGAAAAATCATCGGTAATTAAGGAAATTTCACCTGCTGTTAACGTTGATCAAGGGCGGATCGGGGGGGGGGGCAAAATGGGGCCATTTTTTTTTTTAGTGACCTCGCAATAAATGCAGGCAAGGAGTACACCACCATCTTTTCCTTAAAAAACATTGGTTAAAGTGGTCAGAAATTGCCTCAGATCGCACCACAGAGCATCTAGAATGCAAACAACTTCCGGGGCCCTTAAGCGAGCCCCGAACCCCACGCCGTAATTTTTTTTGACACACTTTTTATTGACCAAAATTGTTTTTGGCCCCCTAAAATTGTGTTCTGGATCCGCCTTTGACGTTGACGAAATACCCACTTCAGTCACGATTCCCTTAGGCCTACTGGTCATTGTCCTGTAATTGTAATTTGGGGTCCACTTTTTTAATTCCCAGTCCCTGTTACATCTGATATTTTTGGTCATTTAATTCTGTATCAACGCCTTAATGCAGTCATCCTCCAAGAGTGATTAAGAATAACAGCAACGTACCAAAAACAACAAATAAACAAACATATTAAAGTTATTCTGAAAGGGGCATACAAAGTATTTTTTTTACTATGCAAATGCACCTTTGCATCCCATTTAACCTTATTTTCAATTTCCGTTTTGCCATTTCAAAGTACTTTTTGATGGCCTTTTGGTTTTTAATGTGAATTTGTAAATTCATGAGCAAAACTGCGATGTCATATCAGGCAGAGGCCACAATGATACAGCTGATAACTATCAGCACAAAAAGTTGCCAGAATTTTGGATGTTGAGCTGTCACAAATATTCTTTTTCTTTGGTGATTCTTTGTTGTGTCATTGTAGTAAGCCAAAGAGCCCCCTTAATGTTTATCAATGAGCAAATTTGGGGTTCACGATTTGAACAGAAAACACCGAAACTGATGAACAGTGTCTTCCTGAAATGACATCGCTGCACTTGAACAGCGACCTCAGTAGTCAAAAAGCATGAGAAATTGAAAATGTTCAAAGTAGGGCACCTTTCAATAAAATTCACCAAAAAGGGATGACAAATAGGTTTCATGCATTTAAGAGGGGTACAAAGTTGCACAAATGAGTTCCGCAGAAAAAATCATCGCATGATACCCATCGCAAGATACTTGTCAAGAGGTTCCAGGGACATGTTAGACCCTAAATTTGTAGTATGACCCTCAGTAAATTGACTAATTTCTCATATTTGATGAACTAACGAAGAATTTAAATTAGTATAGGGAAAGAGGATAATTCTGTCTTATTTGAGATGAATAGTGATCGACCAGACGAACGATCTGAAGTGATAAAGTACCCTGTAAACTTAAAAGATGACAAATTTGGAGTGAAAAAAAACCTAAGATTGAGTAAATTTCACTGTAAAGTCTTTAAAATGTTGACTGATTGGATTAGTGTGGCAAAACTAGAATCGAGCTCTCGAGGTGATCCAGATTCAAAATCTGTGGGTGAGGTGGCCCGTGGAAGTATATAATCACTCTGTGGGAATAACTGAGTATTACTTCTTTAAATGAACCTATACATTCAGCCCACCTGACGTTCCTGGAAATACGAAGTTGGTGACGGAGCTGAATATCAGCAAACAAGGCTGCGTGGCTCACAACTGACGGCCTCAGCCTGAAGGGGAAATCACTGTCCACAAAACATTCACTGTAATTGAGGTATGATCTCCTTGTTATAATTTATCTGTAATGTATTGTGCATGACCGGAACTGTTTATGGAACTATACAACTGGTACGCGCGCATTAATAACCAAGTACATAACGTGTATAAGTGATGACGTCATGCCATGTGACTGCATCATACAATACCTTTCCAATATGACAGCTTCCAGTGTCACTGTTGACATTATTTTCCCCAAATAAACCGGTCAAATGCACAGCAATTTCCGTTCGGACAAAAGTACGTTTTATTGACCCAACTTTTGGGATACAAAAATGATATCACGTTTATTGAAACAAAATTATTAGGTAACTTAAGTTCAATCTTAAAATTCAAGATTGGTTTGACTGGCTAGTTACAAATAGTCGCGTTACTGTTCATTTTATCTTTACATCCTGGTCTCTCTAGATCCTGTACCATCCAGCAAGAAGTGACAGGAGACCAAAAACTAAAGAAGACTGACGACATAGTGGATAAGATCGAGGTTCTGTAACAAACTAGCTTGTAAATTGTAATTTTAGTGTGGATTGCATTATTATAACAGTGCAGCGTATTTGTTTGTTGCCTTTATTCCCCGGTTGTACTCAATTGATTCCAAATCATGGATGTATCCCAAGTCCCAGAAAAGAAAGCAAACACTCTGAAAGAAGAACATCAGCAGTCTGGGGGTGGTTGGCATGGTCTCTCCTCAGCGCAAAAGAGAATGGTAATGATGCAGCAAGCAGCCCCCGAATCAACCGCTTATGTTGAAACGATTGCGGTTCGCACCACCAACCAAATAGAACCACGGGATGTTTTCAAGACTCTTACCTCACTGCATCCCATACTAACCTCCAAAATAGACATGGATGGAAACAGAAAGGAGTTTGTTGTTACTTTGGGTAGCAACGTGGCCTTCGACGTCAAGCCTGAAGTCTTAGATGCTGATATCGATGTTGAGGATTACATCAAGCAGTCAACACCAGTAATAAATATTTTTCACGAGCCTCTCGTTCAGTATCGGTACTGCATTCAGGGAGAAAACCACATCCTAGTACTTCATATTCATCATTTGATTGTCGACATCGTAACAATTATCAACATATGGACAGATGTCCACGGTCTGATAGAGGGCGCCTCCAACGTTCAAGGAGCTCCAGTATCACCTACTTCCTATTCATCATTTGTAGCTTGGGAGAGCACCGAACGACAATCAGCACGACACGGAGCTGACCAAGTTTTTTGGAAAGAGACTTTCTCAAGCATGCCAACTCGGGCAAGTTTGGCTGTTCTTCCCTTGAGCGAGTGTGAATGGAGTGACGCAAGTGTCTACAAGGCGAGGCAGGCCAAAATCATCCTCCCAAGAGAGTCGACGGAATCGATCAGCAAGTACTGCAAGTCGATTGGCGTGACGCCATTCAAGTACTATCTGGCTTGCACCATGCTGGTTTACCAGCGATACATCGGGACTGAAGACGTTACTCTTGCAGTTCCGATTTCAACAAGACCTCAGGCGCACCAAAACACCGATGGTCTCTTTGTAAATACAGTTTTCTTTCGAAAAGTCCTGCGAACCGACATGACCTTCACAGATTACGTAAAAGATGTTGCCAAAAGCTGGATGGAGACGTACAGTCACTCTCAGTATCCTCTTGAAGAGGTTGTTAAAATCGTAAAAGAGGCGCATGGAATGAGTATGTCATCATTCTGTTGCATGATGTTTGGTAGCTACACCATGCAGACATCTAATGTGATGCGTATACCTGCAAAGCACGCCAAGATGCCTGTAGAATTTGACGTCACTTTCAAGAGGGGAGAGGAGACAATCGAAATCGTTGTAGGATGGGCAGAAGAATTCATTGATGCAGGTGTAGCTCAGAGATTGGCTGAAGGTGTGGTTCATACGTTCTGTAAAGCCTATCAACAAGCAGACGATGTCACGCAGAGCATTCAAGTCTTATCTTCTGCAGAGCTGGACCTTCTTGAGTCGTTCGGTCGTCATCCTGGGAAAAGTCAAACAATCCCTGAACAACCAGTTCATGTGGCATTTGAAGACCACGCTGTCAAGAATCCAGAGTTGATCGCAGTGTCTTGTAGAGATGTTTCTCTTACATACAAGCAGCTCAATATCATGGCCTCCAGCATTGCTCAGGGTCTCCTTGAAAACACCGACCAAGTTACACTTCAAAAGAGACCGGTTGTCATCGTCATGGAGAACGATGAATACACAGTGGCATCGGTACTTGGAATCTGGAAAGCTGGAGGTCACTTCTTACCTGTTGCAGTTAGTTTTCAGAATTTATTGAAGGGGATCTTTGAGAGGTGTGAGCCAGCCACTGTGCTCTACAACACTAGACTCAAAGATTTATCAATCCCCACCACGAAGCAATGTCCTGTCCTCAACGTCAAAGATCTCACCACATACCCTGCAGATGATATGGTTCAAAGCAGATTGGTTGGGAAGACACCTGTGGACAACTTGGCATATGTAATGAGGACCTCGGGATCAACGGGAATTCCCAAACAATGCAGCATTTCTCACAGGAGCCTTGGTATTGTAGCTGCAGCCTATACAAAGATGTACAACTTACCTGACATGACGGTGAACTGTCTCCAGTGGGCACCCATCTCATTTGGCGTCTTCATAGCGATTTTGGTCAGAGCCCTAGTATCTTCTCCTGGCCGATTGACTATCTGTCCAGATGAATTCCGGTTGGATGTCTTCCACATACTGGATCTCATCCACGAGCAGAATGTCAATTTGGTAGAGTTTACACCCCAGTTAGCTCGACATCTTGTGGAGAATGCCAAGCTCGATCAGCTGGAATCCATCCAACTCTTAATCATTGGATCTGATGTACTCCAAGTACACTTCTACAACAGAATCAAGGATCTTTTGAATTCAAATCAAAGAGTTCTAAATGGCTATGGGATGACAGAGGCTACCATGGACTCGTCTTTCTTTGAAGGACCAGTTGTGTCAAGGACCAGGAGTGGAATGGTGCCGATTGGGAAACCATTTCCTGGTGTTCGATACCATGTCTTGAATTCCTCAACCTTACAACCATGCCCTGTAGGTACAGTCGGTGAACTGTACATCAGTGGTGATGTCTTGGCATCTGGGGATGCAGAGCTAGTTCACTTGGAGCATCTTCAGTGTGTGGCACTGAAGACAGGTGATGCAGCTTACTGGCTGCCAACTGGAGACATTGATCTGATGGGTAGACTGAATAGGATGGTCAAACTAAGAGGGCTCAGGATTGGCACTACAGAGATAGAAAACAAGATACTGCAACTTGTTCCTGGAGTAAAGGCCGCCTGTGTTGTTCCTATGACTAACAGTGAAGAGTCTGGCAGCACTGATCAGTCTTTGTGTGCCTTTCTAGTGCTTGATGAGAGCAGCCAAACTGGTGGTATCGAGATAGATCGCAGATCTGTTTGCCAAAAGCTACAAGGTGACCTCCCGAATTACATGCTGCCTAATATTGTCAGCATCATAGACGAAGTGCCGCTAACTCCGAACGGAAAGGTAAACTACAAAATACTTCCGAGTATCAATGATATTGTCAAGATGGAGACTAAGAAGGAGACCACGGATAACACGGTGGAAACTAAAACTGCCTCAACTTTGAGAATGTTGTTGGCTGAAGCGATGGGCTTTCCAGACTCAAGTCGCATTCCAAGTGATACAACTTTCATGGAATTGGGCGCCCACTCTCTTGTCCTCGTACGATTCTCGGTGCTTCTGAGACAAAAAACAAACTTTGATGTCAAGGTAACGGATCTATTTGATTATCCATCCCTACGTTCTCTCGCTGATTACATTGAACAGCAAACACGATAATTATAGACGTGCAGCGCAGACGTACCCCCTCAACGGTGGACATGAGTTCTGACGATGATACATGACCGCATAAAACATTCAACTTCGATACTATGACATGATAATAGTGTGTTTCGGCCTCTTCAAATAGACAAATATTTGTTTGTATTTATGATATTACAGGCCCCCTAAATCTGATCATGATAATATAGAAACGAAGAATGGAAATTGCTCTTCAAATTTTTGTGATAGTTGGAGGATCGGATGTTTTGATCCCAGCACGAACTTTTGCAAAGGCAAGAAAAAACTAGAATGAAAGTAGTGTAATTATTAGGCTAAACAGTTGACTCCAGGAGACCAATTTTCGTTTGTTAGTGGGAAATTATTTGGAAGCGCATTCGTTTTTAATATATTTTTCTTCAACTAGTCGGTAGTAAGGGTTTTATAAGTTATTTTATTTTGTCGAATATTACTCTTTGGTGTATATTTGCTCGATGTTAAGAAGTTACCAGAGTTGTTATTACTCTCGCGCTAAACACACTGCCTCAACTTTGAGATAATAGTGTGTTTCGGTCTCTTCAAATAAACAAATATTTGTTGGTGTTTATGATATTACAGGCCCCCTAAATCTGATCTTGATAATATAGAAACGAAGAATGGAAATTGCTCTTCAAATTGTTATCATAGTTAGAGGACCGGATGTTTTGATCCCAGCACGAACTTTTGCAAAGGCAAGAAAAAAATAAAATAGAAGTAGTTTAATAATTTATTAGGCTAAACAGTTGACTCCAGGAGACCAATTTTCGTTTGTTAGTGGGAAATTATTTGGAAGCGCATTCGTTTTTAATAGATTTTTCTTCAACTAGTCGGTAGTAAGGGTTTTATAAGTTATTTTATTTTGTCGAACATTACTCTTTAAGTCTTTGGTGTATATTTGCTCGATGTTAAGAGGTTACCACAATTGTTATTACTCTCGCGCTAAACAAACTGCCTCAACTTTGAGATAATAGTGTGTTTCGGTCTCTTCAAATAAACAAATTTTTGTTTGTGTTTATGGTATTACAGACCCCCAAAATCTGATCTTGATAATGTAGAAACGAAGATTGGAAATTGCTCTTCAAATTTGTATTCTAGTTGGAGGATTGGATGTTTTGATCCCAGCACGAACTTTCGCAAAAGCAACAAAACAATAAAATAGAAGTAGTTTAATTATTAGGCTAAAAAGTTGACTCCAGGAGACCAATTTTCGTTGTTAGTGGGAAATTATTTGGAAGCGCATTCATTTTTAATATATTTTTCTTTAACTAGTCGGTAGTAAGGGTTTTATAAGTTATTTTATTTTGTCGAATATTACTCTTGAAGTCTTTGGTGTATATTTGCTCGATGTTAAGAAACTATTAGTCTAGAATTGTTATTTTACTCTCGCGCTAAACAACTACCTCAACTTTGAGAATGTTGTTGGCTGAAGCGATGGGCTTTCCAGACTCAAGTCGAATTCCAAGTGATACAACTTTCATGGAATTAGGCGCCCACTCTCTTGTTTGTATTTATGATATTACAGGCCCCCCCCCCCCAATCTGATCTAGATATAGAAACGAAGAATGGAAATTGCTGTTCAAATTTTTATCATAGTTGGGGGATCGGATGTTTTGATCCCAGCACGAACTTTCGCAAAGGCAAGAAAACAATAAAATAGAAATAGCTTAATTGTTAGGCTAAAAAATTGACTCCAGGAGACCAATTTTCGTTTGTTAGTGGGAAATAATTTGGAAACGCATTCATTTTTAATAGATTTTCTGCAACTAGTCGGTATACGGGTTTTATAAGTTATTTTATTTTGTCGAATATTACTCTTTAAGTCTTTGGTGTATATTTGCTCGATGTTAAGAAGTTACCAGAATTGTTATTACTCTTGCGCTAAACAAACTGCCTCAACTTTGAGATAATAGTGTGTTTCGGTCTCTTCAAATAAACAAATATTTGTTTGTGTTGATGGTATTACAGGCCCCCAAAATCTGATCTTGATAATATAGAAATGAAGAATGGAAATTGCTGTTCAAATTTTTATCATAGTTGGAGGATCGTATGTTTTGATCCCAGCACGAACTTTTGCAAAAGCAACAAAACAATAAAATAGAAATAGTTTAATTAAGTTGACTCCAGGAGACCAATTTTCCTTTGTTAGTGGGAAATTATTTGGAAGCGCATTTATTTTTTAATAGATTTTTTCAACTAGTCGGTAGTAAGGGTTTTGTTAGTTATTTTATTTTGTCGAATCGTCGAATATTACTCTTTACGTCTTTTGGTGTATATTTGCTCGATATTAAGAAATTACTATAATTGTTATTACTCTCGCCGCGCTAAACAAACCAGCGTCTGAAAAATATCGTTGATTTCATTGAGGATTCAAGTTTCATAATTTGTTTGGTCAGAACGATATCTTAGAATGTAGATTGACTGCATAATTGGAGATCAATCTTCGAGGCCTAGACTGTGATCATCTTGATCATCAAGTTTGGCTATTTTTTGCAGTAAAATCTGAGCACTAGTAACAATGTAATAATATTGTAACGAAGCTTGGCGGTCTAAGGACTTATAATAATGGAATGGCTTCAACTCACGGGACAGAATTTAATCGGTAGGAAAGAACGGACCAGTGATGGGGGTAACAGCAACAATAAACAGATGAAATAAAGATGGAAGATGGACACGAAATAATACCGTCTTGGCACTCTCTGATCTTTAATTATTCTTGTCAAAACACAATCATTCGTATACAATTTCTACTCACACTATGTCGTCCACAGTAGTAGCCCGTGCAAAAAGTCAGACCTTGTTCCTTGAATCCCAGCTCTAGACTGACATGACTGTACTAAACCCCGCGCGCGCTTTGCGCGCCGCGCGCCCAGAATTAACACAGTGTATATAATTTGCCCTAGAAAATAGATAGGCCGTTACACTATGATAATAAAGTCACAAGGACAAAATTCAAATGCTGCTTCTCATAATATTTGCAATAGATCTTATTGACAAGACGCCGTTTTCGATCGTTTTGAGTGCAAGTGAAGCCTCACTTTCAATTTTTATTTAATGTGGCTTACAACATAAATTGTTCATCACAAATTGACAAAAAGTCTATTGTCTTCCAAAGATTGTCTGTGTCTGTACGGTAGCATTAATTTGACATTTACCCTGGCCCATTGAGTGATTTATAGGAATCGTCCTTACTCTTGCAAAATCCAACACCATATGGTAAACTCAACACCCAAACTGTTGGACTCTGATTATGGTGGTATGCCTAACCCCATGTAAAGCATAATCAGTAAATCGTGCAGTACTCACTCCTACATATTCCAACAAAACATGCATTTGGATTTTGAAGGGTTGGGGTGGTTTGGGGTAAAAGAACTATGGACAGCCGCATCATGAAACAAAGTTTAAACGATGAGAGGAGGTTATTTTTTTTTTAAAGGCCGCTCTCTCTCTAATTGGCTATAAAACTTCTTGCAGAATAAAACAATCTTTACTATGATTATTCTTTCACATAATATTTTGAAAGATAATGATATTGTTGCATAATAAAGACGTTTGTCAATTTATTTGCAATACTTAATATGTCAAACGCGGCCACTGCATTCTTTAACAATTCAAAAAATTAATATTTTGTATTTTTTTCCATGAATTTCATAAAAATCCGACGGTCAAAATCGAATTTGTTATCATACTTGACCATTCCACTGCTAAAACTATATTGGAAAACTGTGCGTCGAAGAGACTGTTCCCTTGGATTTCACAAGACAACATTCATCACTTTCCTACAAAGAAACACCAATACGCACAAACACTTTCACCCATTTTTAAAATAATAGAACAAGTTTAAAATACTGTAGTAAAATGTACTTCTAAATACTTCTTCTTTTTGTGAATCTACAAACCAAGAAATAAACCATTTAAGACAGTAGTGGAATATTTAACCCAAAAATATCTTGCAGTGCAAAGGATATTAGACATGACCCACGCTTCGTCGCCAGATGCTAACTGTTTGAATACGATATCAGGCAAATACAATGGACTTCCATATTGAGTTCAACCTCCTGAGGAAATCAACGACTTAGGTTTACGGCTCTATTTAAAGTATATAGGCCTTATATCGTCGCTTTGCTCACGAAGTGACAAAAACCTCAAAATTTGACAAAAGTTCATTCTGAGATAATCGCATTTGAAGTTATTCATTTTTTCAAAAGACATTTTCGACCACTTTGCAGTAACAGAATTCGGAAGTTTTTGCATTGTCCGATAGGATATGATTTGTTCTTTGTTATTTCATAATTGTTTATTAGAGATAGTTAGTAATTAAACAGTAATTCATTAATAAAACTTGTTTGCACTTCGTGAGAACAGCAATATTTTGGGTACCATATTTTGCCAATTAGTTTGTACACAGTTTTTGTCACTTCGTGGGATCATGAATCGCGGAGGCTTTACTTATTTTGTACTTTTTTCGACGCAACAAACTTGTTAATTTTGCGCGTCACGACAGTTGAGCGAGGGCGCGTGTGTTCTTTTTCAACGTCGTTCGCGCGCGCGTGTATGCTCCCATCCTGCCGCGTGTAGACCATTGTATAATTATTTTCTGTGTTCTGGCCCTGCTCACGAGCTGACTCTTTGTCACTTCGTGGGAACATGAATCGCGGAGGCTTTACTTATTTGTACTTTTGACGACATTTTGTTACTTTTGCGCGTCATACGATGGGTGAGCACGCGCGCGTCTGTTCTTTTTCAACATCGTTCGCACGCGCGTGTATGCTCCCATCCCGCCGCGTGTAAACCAATGTATAATTCCTCCGGCCCTGCTCACGAGGTGAATTTTTGTCACTTCGTGAGAACATTTTACACTTTTTTACATTTCGTAAAAATGAAAATTTCCGATTTCAGGCTTTTTGTCAATTGTTTGTTTACAATAATTAAGAAAGTAAACAAGATTTTGCCTTGAAACTTGGTCAAATTGTTCCTTGAGACAACTTTAATAAAATGGCCAGTAAAACTCAAAATCGAATAATTATCGATTTTCGAGGTTTTTGTCACTTCGTGAGCAAAGCGACGATATGCTACAACGTTTTCGAACAAGCCTTCTCGGCTTCTGTGTGACAAATCGGAACAGTTTGCACTTGCACAGTAACTATTGTATAGACAAAAAGGTATACAGAATTTGTTAATAGGTACAATAGTAAACGACAGACAGATTGCAAGAAATGGAAGAAAAAGTGCTAACTTATTTCACGGAATGGTTATTTTTTTGGAGATCGAGTATCTGACAGGCGATAAGGAGAGATTGTATTGCAATTCACAAAGTTCACTTTTTAGAAGCACTTGCTGTGCACGATGCTTGGGCCAGACTCGTCATACTCCTGCTTGCTGATGTACATCTGCTGGAAGTTGGACAGGGAGGCAAGGATGGAGCCACCGACCCATACGGAGTACTTCCTCTCTGGGGAGCAATGATCTTGATCTTCGTGGTGGGTGGGGCCAGAGCCGACACCTCCTTCTGCACTCTGTCGGCGAAGCCGGGGAACATGGTGGAACCACCAGACAGTGCGGTGTTGGCGTACAGATCCGTACGGATGTCCACGTCGCACTTCATGATGCTGTTATACATGGCCTCGTGGACGCCAGCGCTCTCCATGCCTATGAATGCGGGCTGGAACAGTGCCTCGGGACAACGGAAACGCTGGTTGCCGATGGTGATGACCTGTCCGTCAGGGAGTTCGTAGCTCTTCTCCAAGATGGAGCTGGAAGCAGCCGTGGTCATCTCCTGTTCGTAGTCCAGAGCAACGTAGCACAGCTTCTCCTTCATGTCACGTATGACATCACGCTCGCCTGCAAGAGAAAAATGAAGAGTCATAGTACTTATTAATTTAATTAACAAGTTTTTAACTTCACACTGATAAATCATTAACTTTAAAAAAATAATCGACAGACTATTCGGCAGTCAAAACCTAAAATTAATTCACAATCCTTGAGAACATACTTACCAGATGTAGTGAAAGAATAGCCATGCTCTGTGAGGATCTTAGTCAGGTATATATTCAAGTCACGGCCGGCCAAGTTCAGACGATGGATGGCGTCGGGCACGGCGTAGCCCCCAAAGATGGGCACAGTGTGGGACACACCGTCACCAGAGTCAAACACGATTCCGGCGGTACGACCAGAGGCGTAGAGAGACAGCACAGCCTGGATGGCCAAGTGCAAGGCGGGTGTGTTGAAGGTCTCGAACATGATCTGAAAGGATTTTTAAACATCAAGTTTACAACACAGACACGGCTACGATTCAAAACGTTTTGGGACAGGTTAATTTTACACTGGCATCAAAGAATATGAAAGCGTGTATTCACCTGTGTCATCTTTTCCCTGTTGGCCTTGGAGTTCAATGGGGCTTCAGTCAGCAGCACGGGGTGCTCCTCTGGGGCCACACGCAGCTCGTTGTAGAAGGTGTGATGCCAGATCTTCTCCATATCGTCCCAGTTTGTGACGATACCGCGCTGGATGGGGTATTTCATGGTCAGGATACCTCTCCTGCTCTCGGCCTCATCTCCGACGTAGCTCTCCTTCTGTCCCATGCCAACCATAAGACCCTTTTGGGAAAAAAAGAGGACGCAAATTAAATAGTTCAAGTAAACTACCCTTCTTGACGAACCGAAATATTCTTTTCACCTTAAGACCTAAAGAACATTTTAAGGAAAATTTTACCTGGTGGCGTGGTTTTCCAATGACAGAGGGGAAGACGGCCTTCGGGCTGTCATCTCCGGCGAATCCGGCCTTGCACGAACCGGAGCCATTGTCTACAACCAGAGCGGCAACATTGTCGTCACACATGATGTTCTGTCGTTAATTTACTTCCTGAAAAGTAACAAGGGATACAAGAATCAAAACAAGTTCAACAGGTTTGTTGAGGAATGACAAAATCTTAATTAAGGGAAGAAAAACAATTAAGTACTACAAGACAAAAGTATGTCCAAAAAAGTGTCCGTCTAGCTATTTTGGAAATATACAATACCATGAAGTAAATTTTGAAAATTGTTAATTGTTTAGATACTCCTAATCCTTGGCCCACATCCCTATGAGCATCATTCAATTTCCCTCACGCCTCAATACATTGTCATTTGATCACAACAACATTTTGGACACCAAGTTCCTTGCCTTAATGCATTTCAGTGATTGGAATCATTATTTTGCTAGCTATCATCAGTCATCATGGCAAGACCTCAGCTAATGCTCAAGCGCAAACGATTCCAATCCCAAATCCTTTTTTTTTGATAACATCCAGGATTTTACACACCTTACATAACACAGCCCTGAAATCGATTATTGCAAGGAACTTGGCCACAGTGTCCAAAAATGTTGCTGTGATCAAAATGACCACCCTGCAGTAAGATGTGATGAAAATTAAATGAAACTCGTAGGGGTTTAGTCCAAGGATAAGGAGTATCTGCACAATCTAAAAGTTTCAAAATTATTTTTTTTATGGTTTTGTAGTCATATCAAAAATTAGTCGGACGAACACTTTTTGAGGATGTACACGTATAGTGTATCGCAATGTAGGGAGTTAATGTACATTTGTTAGAAAACGTACACATTTAAATAATTGATAATTTTATTGAGTTGGAAAATGCAGGCAGAAAGTCGTCATTATATTGAAAACGTGAATGACTGAAACA